GATATATAGATTAGGAGTGGATTACATAGTTTATTGGTTAATTAGGACATCACATCTAGCTTTGCCTAATCAAGACAAAGAACTTCTTTTTATGATTCGCAATGGTAGAAAAATCGGATTAAACAATTCTTGCTTTCAGAAGTATCTTTATTGTAATATTTTCAAGTTTGTCTGGATCCCTAAAAACAGTAAGCAATAAGAAATTCGAGAGAAATAGGCGAACTGGGATTCGGGGAACTCACCCGTCGGCGTGTTTCCTTAGGTCCAATCCTTTAAGATAAGAAACTTCCCTGAGCGCAGACTTCCACTCCTCGATCTGCGCCGCGAATTTCTCCCAACTGTTATCCTCCCCGATTTTCTTCTTCCCTTTCTCCATCTCCGACTTGAAATCCGCTTCGTGCTTGGCGAATGCCTCCCCGAAGCTGCCTCTGCACTCCTCGACGTCCGACGGATCGACGTTGTAGAAGACCGGCCAGACGCAGTGTCCTCTCTCTCTTCTGCATTTGAGGATGTGAGCAAGCTCCTCCAAGCACCAAGTGGAGGAAGCGTAGCCTTTGGAGAGGACGACGAGCGAAAACCTAGACTCTTCGATTCCTCTCAGGCACTCGGGGCCGACCTCTCCGCCGGTCTCCATTTCTTTGTCGTCCAGGAAAGTGTGGATTCCGTCGCGGAGGAGGGCCGAATAGAGGTGGCCGGTGAAGCCGCTCCTTGTGTCGGCGCCTCGAAAGCTCAAGAACACGTCGTAGTTCCATCGCGGGCGCGAGTCCACGGGAGGAGAAATGTCGTCGTCGTCCGGAGCCATGGATGAAAGAGGATGAGTACCGCGTTTCACCTTTCCCAATTCACGTTTTTTGGAGCTTTATTTCGAACTCTGCAGCGACTTTACACTCCGGGCGCGGGTAATTAGCATAAATGGTAACAAACCTTTGCACTTAGTACAAAACGGTCACAAACCTTTAATTTGTAACAATATGGTAACAAAACTTTGAAATTGTATAAAATGGTCATCGCTATTTAATTTGTGACCGTTTTGTTTTAAATGAAAAGGTTTGTTACCGAATCGTTACAAATTAAATGTTTGTCATGTTTTGAGGTCGGGTAGTTTGTTCGTTAAGTATATGACACTAACCACTTGAACAACATATAAGATGTCAGCTCATGTGTTCATCGACATATTTGCTTTGCCAAATAAGAATGCCCTCAGTTGACCTTTCAATTTCGATACCAATCTATCAAAAACAAATTTCGATACCAAGAAAGTAGACAAAGTTTTTTCAACTAAAAAGCAGTCTGGAACCCGTTTGTGAGCCATTGAATTCTCTCATTGTCATCCTTTATGGCGATCATATCATTCACATACATTAACAAAACCACCATACAACTAGAGCGAATTGTAACGGTGATTGAGCGTTCAAACTTTTGAACTTAATTTGTACAAAACGGTCACCAAAAGTCTAATTTGCAACGACACGGTAACAAAAGTTTGAACTGGTATGAAATGGTCACACTGTTTAATTTGTGACCGTTTTGTTCTAAGTAAAAAGTTTTGTTATCAAATGGTTACAAATTAAAGGTTTGTGACTGTTTTGTACTAAGTGCAAAGGTTTGTGACCATTTATGCTAATTACCCCTCCGGGCGCCGTCGAAGTCAGCGGATAATTGAATATTCCAGCATTTTATTTTTCATTCATTATATCGCATTAATTAGCAGCCCTAGCGCGTGAAATTGTTTGAGATAAGCGGAGGAGAATAGGTGGGCATCGGTTCGGTTCGCTTTTAAATCGAACTAAATCAGAGTATTCTGGTATCCTAGTATCATTCAAAGATGAAACCGATTCCGAACCGAAATATATTTCGCTTCGGAACTAAGAAATTGACGAACCAGACTTCTCCTTGCTTTCGCTACTTCTTCTCATTGAAGACCCACAACCATAAATAATCAAAACCCGGTCTTCCTTCTCCTCTCTCCCACCTCCTCCTCTTCCTTCTCCCCTCTCCCAGGTTTGGTTTGGATTTACTAAACCGGATGCTCACCCCTACCTTACACGGACTCGAACTATACACATACTATTTTAATTTGATCCGTGGTTTTAGAAATTGTTATTTTGACCTCAATTATACACTATATAAACTAGTTTGGCCCGATTCAGGAATTTCTTTCAAATTAGACTGTCAACACCATTGATCGTTAGTGAATCAACATGCTATGCTGATGTGGACACCATGTGAAAAATAAAAATTAATAAAAATTCAATAATTTAATAAAATAAGAAAGTATTTTTATCTTAATCCACTAGAGTCCACCACACTCTCGCCTCACTCAATACCATAAGGTATAGACTCGTAAAAAAATGCCTCATTTTCTTGTTCTAAAAATATATCAAAGTGGATATCATTTTGAAGAGCACATTTAATCTGATTTATCTGTGCGTAAAAATTTAAATTCTTACTTAAAACGAGAGAGAAATCATCCATTGAAAATTAAAAAGGAAAAAATGATGTTGCACTCATTTGGACAGGTTACTCACAATTACTTACCCTAACGTTATTGACGTTATCCGACCCCTAATTCGGTCCAACTAAAATATCCTTTCCTTTTCCTTTTATTTGGAAAAGTAACGAGTTCATCATGATCTATTGGATCTAAAAATTTCTGGGTGAACAAAATATAGGACAAAAAAATATCACACAATACCACCATGATACGCAGTGGTATCTTGTGGTACACAATGTTAAAAGTCGTAAATGACAGTTCATATACTTCTACTATCATGTATTCAACCATCCTACAATCTTGGTTTGTTCATACCATAGGTATGCTCTTATTTCAATACCAGTCAATATCATATGGTATAGACGGGTAAAAAATTACTCATTTTTTTCTTTGTTCCAAAAATATATCAAAGTGGATATAATGGGACAGGTTACGGTGATTACTAAGGGTAAATTGGGTATGGAAAAATAAATTATATTAATTAATTTTTTAATAAATTACATTTAAGGTAGTTACAAAAATCTATTAATTAAAATTCTCTCTTTCTCTCACTTCCGTAATCTCCAGCCAGATTTACTTTCCATATTTTTCTCAATCTTTCTGCAAAAAAAAAAAAAAAACGAAATCAGTACCAATCCATTAGACAAACACTACCACTTTGGAAAATATCAATACCATTGCAGAAATAAATCTATACCATTACACGAAAACTACCATTGCATAAATAAATTTATACCATTACACGAAAACTACCATTCAAGAAATAAAAACATTACCATTTCACAAAACATCAATACCATTCAAGAAATAAAAACACTACCATTTCACAAAACATCAATACCATTGCAGATTTAATCACTACCAATGCGACAAAATCAATACCAATGTAACAAAATCAATACCAATGCGACAAAATCAATACCAATGCGAAAAAAATAATACCAATGCGACAAAAACTATACCAATACGACTATAACACTACCACTACGGAAAAAAATGACTACCATTTAAAAAAAAATGACTATTGAAAAAAAATGACTACCATTTAAAAAAAAACATACCATTCCAATGAAATTCCTTCTTCCAATTGCAGAGACGACGACGGCGGTTGGTATTATTTTTGAATCGACAATGAACAATCAACTTTCTTTCTCTCAACTCGTTTTCAATAGAAACAATCATGTGCTGGATCGAGGGACGTGCCTGCAAAATCATTACGGTCGCCACAACCGCTACCACTCGCCACATTGTGAAGCGTAGAATCCTTTTACTCTCTCTCTCTATCTCTATTGTTTCCTTTCTTTTTTGAGTTTTGGATGCTCTTATAGTGCACGAATGCTTCTGGTGTATGGAGAAAAGAAGGGTTTGTCTTTCCTTCCACGTTGAAAACGCGCAGAGGCGGAGGAGGTCGGCGGAGGGTGGGCGGAGAGAGGGGAGGAGGAGATAGCAGAGAGGGGAGTGGACGGAGGAGAAAGAGAGGGGGCGGGTAGCCGCAGTCGGCTACCGTCGTCTAGGGTTCGGCTGGAGGGGATGGTAGATTAGGGTTTGGGTAGAATATATAGAATAATCAGGTGTGGACTCTTTTTTGTTTCCAAAATTACCCTAAAACAAAATTAACCGTGAGATTAAAAAAAGAGGAAAACAAGAAAAATGGACGGCAGATAGTGATGTAGCCACGGTGGCTACTAAAATTTTAGTTGTCACCCTAACGCATTCCGGATATAATTTTGAAGAACACAATTAATATGATCTAACTGTGCAAAAAATTAAATTTCAACTTAAAACGAGTGAGAAATCATCCGTTAAAGATTAAATAGGAGAAAATTAAAGACTTTTCAGGAGAGAGAAGGGCCAGTGATGTGACAAATTCTAATTGAATTATGCATAGTTATTGGCCACAAGGTTATTGACTGGATCCGCTCCCTCCGAGGCTGGTCCAATACGGTATCTTAATCCATAAAGTAGATAAAATTTGACAAGAAATTAATAATTTGAATCACTTAATTATTACAGGGCTACAAATTGTAAAACGCTAATACCACTGAGAAACCCGAACTATCAAGAAAGCATCACTTGTGTCCCGAACTATTCAATATGACATTTATGTACTGAACTATTTATTCGTTATTGTTGACCGAGTATGACCTTCAATATTTAACAGAAAATTCAGTCAGTGTCAACGTGGCATCTAATACGGAATTTTAAATATTAATTTTTATTAATATCTTCATCTAAAATGGTTAACAAAATCGTCAGTACATAAATGACAAACAATTATCATACGTTGGGACATAAATGGAATATTGAATAGTTCGGAATACAAATGACACTTTCTTCATAGTTCGAGTTTTCCAGTGGTATTATAAGGCTACAACGGGCTACCTTGAGAATTTTACACACGCATCATGAAAATTAAATCTCAAAACCACAATTAATCCAAGATGTAATAATCAGTTAATTGATCTTACTTACACACATTTTCCTACTAATATCTGCATTATTGTTTTTAACTAATGCTTTTAGTTTGGGCCTTCCCTTTGGCGAGCCACTTGCCAGAAATCTCCATCCCCAATTCCGCCATGTCAATCATCTCCTCATTAGCTTCCGCCATCGGGGCGTCCTTCTCCCCACTCTTCCCGCCGAAAACGGCGTCGCAGCTGCGGATGGACTGCAAGGCGGAGCTCAACATCTGCTCCACCGTGGCGCCGTTCTTCTTCTCCGAGCACTCCAGCAAGGCCTTCGCCAGGTCATCGGTCGCCTTGTTGTACTGCCCGACGCAAGCGTCCAGCCCCTTCGCCACCTCCGGTGACGTGGAGACGGCGTCTTTCTTCTTCGCCATCATGTCCTTGGCGTCGTCCGTCGCCTTCTCGACCTTCTTGTAGAGGAGCTCGACCTCGAGGTTGAGGATGGAGACGGGGTCCTGGTACGTCCCGCCGGCCCTCGTGGCGATGGGGGCGAGGTAGTCCATGCACTTGTTGGGGATCTTGGTGGCTTCGCAGATGTCGCGGAGGGCCGGGTTGATGGCGGTTCCGAGCGCGCCTTTCTTGCTGGGCTTTTTCTTGTCCTCGTCGTCGTCGTCGTCGTTGGGATCGGCCGATGGGGCGGCTGGGTTTGTGTTGTGGTGGGAGACGATGTGGAATGTGAGGGGTGCGTCGGCTGGTGAGGGAGACGGGCCGTTACGGATGGCGGTGGATGTGGGGATGTTGTGGGGAGAAGGATGGTGAAGGAGAGGGCGGTGAGGAAGAGAATTGACTTGAAGAAATCCATGATGATGATGATGATGATGGTGGAGTTTTTTTTTTCTTTCCCTTCTTCTTTTTGGGTTTGTTCGTTTGGGGGAAAGAGTCTCTCTTCTGTTTTGGGTTTATTAATTAGGGTTGTGGAATTTTAGGAAGAGTCTCTCTTTTTCCCCCCTTTGTTTTCGGGTTTCCATTAATTTTTTTTGTGATGTTGGATGTAGGGCTTGTTCTGGTTGGTTGGTTTGTTGTTCTCTTATTTGGTTGGGACTGGTTACGGTGCTAATTGTACAAGAGTTAGCACCGTCCTAACCAAGGGTTAGTAGTGATTTAGCTTAGATGTTGTATTGATTTCATAATAATCCGTAGTGATTTCGTTGTTTTTAGTAGCGTTTTTTGCTAGTTATCACGGTGCTAACCCCCTATAAGGGTTAGCACCTAATCCCATCCCTATTTGGTTCTCTAGTTCTCACTTTCGGTATGGTTTAAAATGCATCTATCTTCATTTGATTTATCTCACCGCATCAACTTTATCTTGGTTACTATCGCATCCATGGCCACAATCAATGCTATGATATTCCAACGCGGCACATAGAATTTACTCTAGAGAAGAGCATACCAGTATTGTTTGTTCTTTACAGGACGTATTGTATCCCAGACTGTGCTCGCTGAGTAGCTGGACATCAATTTCCCATTCCAAAAGCCTTCATCACCCTACTTACTCATAAACGGCAGCATAGTTGGCCGAAGCTTCAGAATTCGTCTCCACGCCCAATCTTCTCTACTTTCACCTGTCAAACAACAAAAGGATGGGGTGTTTTCTATATAAATTCAATTATCAAACCAAACTACACATGAATGAAAAAGTAAGTTATCATTATTTCCAATCTTGAAGATTCCAATATCATCTTCGCTTCCATAATATATATGGTAGTCATCATTGGTTACAATTTACTTCAATTTAATTTTGACATTTAGATTAATCTAACGGTTTTATTAGGCCATATTAAAATAAAATTTTAATATGATTTGGATTACGATACAAAACTCAGACATAAATACACACATCATATATAAATATGTTGTATTCAAATAACATTTGGCCAACAGCTCGGACATCAAGCTAGTTTTAAATATACTCTAGTGAATCTGGAGTATGTGATACTCCTGATGAAGTGGTACGAGATACATTGCTCATGCTTTCTCTTTTAATAGAGATAGCTTATACATATTAATGTTAATTAAATGAAAAGTAATGATCATATTACTTTTTGTTTGATTTTATTCACATACAAACCGGAGAATTTACATTTAGTGCTGCAAATGATCCAAGTCGGGCTAATCTTTTAATCTAATTTGAGCTAATTGACTAATTTTGATATAATAAACGAGTAAAGTTTGAGTTCAGCTTGTTTACTAAAATATTGATTTGTGTTTGAATCGAGTTCGATTTGTGTTAGAATCGAGTTTGATTCGAGCTCGGCTTATTAATGAGTTCACGAGTTCTACTCGAGGTCGGCTCAATAATTAGCTTCCGAGATTGGCTCGAGCTAAGATATCATATCATTTAGTTCATAATTTTTAATAGTTTATATCATGCTATTTAACAGTAATTAGTAATAGTATATTAAAACTCTATGATACAAAATTTCTATTTTCAGCTATAAATTAGACATATTTGATCACATGCTCAAATTCTTAAATATCATATGTGGTGAAATATATAATCTAACAAAACTATAAATTATCAAAAAGTCAATAATAAGCTATTGACCAATTTTCCCATCACTTGCTAGTTGAGTTGGCTCGCTAGCCATTCTATAGAGTCGGCTCATACAAGCAGTCAAAATCGGGATTTTAAGTAAAACAAAAAATGGGGGTAAAATCGGAATCGTAAAATCATAGGATTTTAAAGTTCATATAAAAATGAAGACAAAATAATATTACTAAGAAACATCATGAATAACACAAAAGCACATAACACTTACAATAATAATTTTCAAGATTAATGTTTAATGTTAAGAGGTGGTGAATCGATGATGATTAATACGTTGATGTGAATTGATTATAATCGATGGTGGTTAGTGTGAGACAGTGAGAGAAATAGATGATGTTGGTAGAGAAGAAGAAAAAAGGCGTAATTTTGCAAATTTTGGAGAAAATAAGTAAAATTGACTTAAGGATTTAAATCGTGAATAATGTAGGATTGTAAGGTCAATAGATTTTATAGTGAAATCTGAATCGGAATAGGTAAGTAAAATCGTAAAAGCGTAGGATTTTAGGATTTAAATAAGGATTTTGACTACTCCAGTCATAGCTCAAAATGAGCTTGCTAACGAGTTGAGCTCAAAAAGCCACTAGAACGAGCTAGATCACGAGCCTTGTGAGCCAAACAAGGATTACCTTTTAGTTCACTCAACAGTAAACGAGTCGAGTGTCAAACGGATTTTTTCCAGAGCCGAACGCCGAGCCGCTCGTAAGCAAATTAAATTAGCTCATTTCGAGCCCTATAAACAGTTAAAGAAATGAAAATCGGCACGAGCTAAAAATTATTGTTTATGAAATCGTACCGTACTAATAATTTGATCGGAAAAAACCTCATATTGGAGTAATTAACGGTAGCCAATTTTTAACAATATAAAACACTTGAACCACAATTAAACCATATTCTTAGCACAAAATACTCTACGACTAATTAACAACAGCAAAATATTAAACTCTCTTTGGGTAGACATCCTTTTAATTAACACACCTCATATCTACAACGCCCCTTTCTGAATCAGCATAGAGATCTCCAAGCAAAGCTTCGCCATATCAAGCAACACTTGATCAATCTCCTTCATCATGACCCCTTTGTTCAACCTCCCCGGCATCTCGAAAGCTTTGTCGCACCGTCTGAAGCTCGACACGGTTGCACGCAGCATCAAGATCACGGTCTTGGAATCACGAGTGGACAGTGCAAGCCCGGCCTTCACCAGCTCCTTGGCAGCAACACCATAAGTTTTGACACAGGATTTGAGGACCTCTCTGTCCGCCTCCAAAGATGTCACAGCTCGATCTTCCTTGCTCAGCCTCATGGCCGTCGAGATGGCTTGCCCCGTCATGTCGTAGAGCGACTGGATCTCCACGTTTAGAATGGAAACGGGATCCGTAGCGCCGCCGGCCGCGGCGAAAGGAAGGATGAGCTCCATGCATTTCTTGGTGTTTTTGGTGGCTAAACATAGAGACCGAATGGAAGGGTTGATTGTTGATGGTGGTGGTTTTAAGGCCGTCTTGTTGAGCTTACTAATTAATGGCGAGGAGGAGTAAGATATGAATGGTTTGGTGGAAGACGGTGAAGTACGGGCAGCCTCTATATTAATGGTGGAGTGAAGAAGAATGACGATGAAGATGGATGTTGAATTTTTGAAGTATTGCATGGTTGTGTTTTTTTCTAGTTTCTTGTGTGGTAAGATTGTAAGGATAGTTTGAGAGAGACAAGTGAATATTGAAGAGAAGTTGGTAGACCCAAGGGTAGGCATATAGTGTCATTTTTAAAGGGGAGGGTTGGTAGGAGGTGTGCAATGGTCCGGTCCGGGACTGTACTGTACCGTGCAGGATCAAATTGAAATTTAGACCGAATTGCACCGGATCCAGTATAATGCGGTCTGGTATTTGGTTCATATGAATTTTACGAATCTAAAGAAATGAGGACCAGACTGATATTTTGACCAAACCGGACCGAACCAAACCAAATGAAAAATGATAGTTTGATTCTTGGTGCTAAGATGTATTTCACTAATTGACCGTGATTCTAAAGTATTTGATCCGATTCGGACCGGACCGGACCGAACCGTTGCACACCCTAAGGTTGGTTAATAGTGTTAGGTTGGGGAGCTTTTAGTTTTTATATCTAACCACTTGTAATCTTGTTATGGGTTTAGCGGTGAATGTCGTATGAAGTGTTGTCCCTTTGTTCTTGAGAAGTTGGTACATCTTTTTTTTTTAAGAAGTTGGTGAAGGTGGTCATACCACTTCCATTTCCGTGACAAGTTTAATTTCAAGGGTTGCTAGTTGAGCATGCAATTGAGGTTGGGGAAACTTTCAAATTTGTTTGACGCATTTTCTAAGCTATATGTACAACAGATAAAGGTGAGATGACCATTTCCTCAGTAATGTTAGACTGATATTATAATAGTTTTATTTAATTTGGAAAAAAGTTTCAACTTTTTATAGGAAAAAAAACAAATTAGATATAATTTATAATATAACAACCACCTTATATATTTTGGAATTCATTATGGTAAAAAGAATCTACCATAATTATAAAAAAAAAGTCTGTTGTGTATCATGGTGTTACAAAGGGAACATAAGTTATGTATGTATGGATAGATCTTGAGTGCAATTTCCATTCTGGATATTATATAATTTATCTACATGTCAAGAACCACTTTATTCAAATAACTATAATTGTTGAAAGAAGTTCAGTTACTAGTTTTTAAATAAATAGTATTAGAACAAAATAAAAGTTCAAGTATTCGTTGAGATCGTAATTTATTCCTCTTCCATAAAATCCTCCTCTTCTTATTTTGATTTTTTGCTTTGGTTTGCAAAAAATTTGTATATACTAGCTTTGTATTTTTATTATTAATTATTAATAATTTGAAATCGTAATTTATAATCATATATCGATTCTATTGATAAAGTAAGAATATCATAAATCACAGGTAACGTATCAGACACATTGGATGACGTATAATAGTTTCGATCTTCTTATATTAGTAAACATAATTAATGAAGTTTATCTTATAATTTTTGCAATTAATATCATCAAATAAAGTTTATCTTACTAGTTAGAAATTTTACATTGCAAGAATATGATACTTGTAGATTGTGTGTACGAATCCTAGTAATGATTATTTATATATTCTTTATTTTTAATCAACGTTCAGTTAAAAATTAAAATAATAAAAGTGATGTGGAAAATCAAGAATAACTTGAACATATGAGAATTGGGAAAATTTGAAATGGTGAAGTAAAATTTTGAAAAGTGCATAACATATTGTATTGATTCATACTTTGTATTGGTGTGTTCCCCTTTGCAGATATATATGAAAATAATCTACATAATCTTGAATGCTGATGGAAATCACACAAATTTTGGATTTGAGGAATTGCGTAGCAACCATTACCAATGACTGAATAATGGAGGGCAATAAATTCGACTTCCACTTGGGTTTTCATTTGGCTATAATAAAAGATTTTTCTGGAAGTAATTGGTTAGATAGAGGTGTATATATGCATGTTGAGCGGAGCAAATAATGGGTGACTTGGAGCTCTCCTTCTCAACTCTCAACAACCGCCGGCCGATGGATCCTCCCATCCCTTCCTCGATAGCTTCCGGCGCACAACCACCTGGCCGTCCACCAGAAATTGCTTTCCCTCCACTTCCTGTTTCCACTCGTCCCGCTCCAACAGAAATCTTTGATACAGAGATGTCTGGTTGCGACTCCACCCCCTTGCCTCATTCTCCTCCCAGACCTGCCATTTCTTACAAGCGCATCGTTGAATTAGGGCAAGCAGCTGCAACGACTGCTTCGCCAAATGAATTTACTATCTTACCTACTGATGTCGTTGTCGGAGTTCGAGAAGGATCCCCAGACTTTCAACTGTCCGAGCGCTATGATCAACATCTTTGCTCGCCGTGGCAGAACACAGTTGTGATAAGACTGTTGGGTCGCTCAATTGGGTACTCCGCTCTCTGCCAAAAGCTCAAGTATCTCTGGAAGCCAACCGGACCACTGCAAATTGTCGATTTGGATCAAGGAGGATTCATGGTGAAATTCTCAAATACTCAAGACTTCACAACGGCCATCACTGGAGGACCTTGGATCATCCACGACCATTATTTGGTGGTCCATGAATGGACACCTTCATTCAGAGTCGATGAACAGCTCCCTCCGACCGTGGTGGCGTGGGTACGCTTCCCAGGATTCCCCGTCCAATACTACCATTCGCATCTCCTCAAAACCATAGGGAATTCACTTGGGCGTACCATTCGAATCGATTACAACACGGAGGCTGCACAACGAGGCAAATTTGCAAGAATTGCGGTGGAATTAGATGTGTCAAAGCCACTTGCTCTCAAATTTCTCCTAAATGGAAAATGGCAAAAGATACTATATGAGAATATACCCCTCATCTGCTTCTCATGTGGTAAGATTGGCCATGAAAAGAGTCGTTGTGTGGACTCCCAAATCTTTCAATCCCCTGCTGCAACGATGATTCCCTTAACTGCGGCAACACCTCCCGAGGAACTCACCGGTTATGGACCATGGATGCAAGTGAATCGAAGGTCATCTCGCCGTCCGAATGCATCACACCAGCAGAAGGCTGCTGCTCGCTCGCCGGCATCCAATTCGACCGGCAATACCTCGCCACCGCCGGAGAAACCGACAGCTAGAAGCGACACAACCACCCCTCCAACCGCCTCATTAAAGGATCCCCATGCAACCCAATTGAAGACTGTTGCGGTGTCAGACGCCCCATCCCGCCACCATAAATCTCTGCCTTCTTCCGCTTCGATCGATGCCCAGATCCAGAACAGAGAGGGAGCTGCCAGGCGTATTAACGATGTGCATGAGGGGGGATTTAATTCACAAGCAATCAACAACTACCAACCGACATCATCTGGGCGAAGTATGGGAGGGTCTTCAGATGACAAAAAATCAAAGCAAAATCTTCCCTTGGCGCACAGAATTGAAGACGGCATGGTGATGGCAGGGACGCTACGTACTGAGTTGGATAAGAAGAAGAACAATATTTTTTTGAAGGAGAAGCACCCCTCGGTAACAGAGGGGAGGGCGCCGGCACCCATTTCTGATGGGCTTTTGGGAAAAGCTCCACTTAACCCTGTGGGCCTCTCTACAATATCTGGGCCCAACGCTCCATCTACATCCAAAGAAGAGTTCGGGCCAAGCCATACATCCAGCTCCACTAACTCTTCCGTTCAAACTATCGTTCCCCCGCCGGTTCGCACAATTACAGGTCCAAATGGAACTACAATTCACATAATCGAAGTGCAACCGCTAGAAGCTCGGACTTCGAACAAAGGAAGCCCGTCAATAACGGAGAGAATGAAGAAGGTACGGAGCAGTAACCAACATCAGAAGCAGGGAATCTCACTGAAGAACAACGACAACAAAAAACCCATTTTGGGTTTGGTGACGAAGAAGAAAAAGCATACTAAAGGTATGGAGCAATCTATCCCCATAACCCTTCAAGACTTAGAAGTGTTAAATGCCAACTTCATCAACAAGCACACGATGAACCATGCTCTATCAGAGGAAGGGGTTGAATCATCTATAGCTATAAACCCCGATCCAACGAACGCTTAAAGAGTCATCCCGACGGATGCATGAACTCTTTCTCTATGATTTTTCCTTTGTCCTTTGGTCTCCATGTCAATTCTTGGTATTTAGAGTTTTCTCACAAAAGTCATTTTGTTTGAGCGGTTCGTCACTTATTGTATTTTCTTTTTGCGGGTGTGAAGTTCCTATCTTCTCACCTTTTTTGTCTGAGCACCACTCTTTATTGTAACTCTTTCTTGGCTTCGGCCTCCAACGAATCAAAAAAAAAAAAATTTGGCTATAATAAAAGCTAAAAGCCTCGACAAAAAAGAAAAAGATAGAAGAGAGAAAATTGAGAGAGTGAGGAATGAAGACTGAAGAGGTTGTGGTGGGGAATATATAGATGCGGTGTGTTGTACATTGTACTAGTAGTGTGAGTTCCACCTCAGTTCATCAAATTTCGTAAATAGTACTCGAGCACACCGATCCCAAATTCAAACAATCGGCACGACATATACATACTTAGGGGTCTGCAAAGGTTTGGTTGGATTCGGTCTAAATTGAACCAAATTAATGAGAATTAAAGATATCCTAGAATCAAGGACCAGATCATACTTGTATTTGGTCCATTTGGTCTGGTTCGGTCCGGTCCAAATATCTGTTCGGACCATCATTTTTTCAGTAATTATAAAATTCATGAGTATCAAGGACCAGACCGCATTATACTCAGTTCGATTTGGTCCGGTCTTAATGTCTGTTTTTTCCGGTGTGGTCTGGTACGGACCGAGCCATTGCACACCCCTATATATACCTCATCCTGTCGAAATAAGCGACAAAGGAAAAATCACAAACTCTGTGCACTCGTTCGAAACTTATCTCGTTTACTAATAATTTGAGTTTGAGTTAAGTCTTGTTCAGCTCGTAGAGTTCAAGAGCTAGCTTGATTAGGTGCCTTTTTGAACTCAACTCATGAGTTGGCTCGTTTAAAGTTCATGAGAGTTTCAACATTGTGGTTAGAGAGCCAAATCGACTATCGACTTATATATGAGTGAATCGATCTATATCATAAGATTGTGAAATTATATATCTCCCCATATATATATGATTTTTTAAGACATTGAGTATGTGAACAAGTATGTCCTATTTTTTATTTTAATAAGAAATTATGTATCATAGATTTTCTTTGATACTATGCTTCAGAACTACTATATCATACCATAGGTACTCCAAGTGAGATATCTTCATATAGACCATGAATTAAACCGAGTTTGGGGTATGATACTATACCCTAACCTCTAATTGATAAGCCCTTAGCCCGGATTCTCTAAACCCAAACCCGAAATTTAATATAATAAAAAACAATAATTAACCGTTGAGATTGGTCGGAGCTAATCGAGGTAAACGACTAGATCACCTGGAGTATACTATACTCCTGGAGTATATATACCAGTCGTTACCAACTAAATAATATGATAGCAACAAAGTATAACATGGATTAGATAATGATGATAATTGACTATTATTCCTTTTTATCATCATGATATCAATCACCTGTATCATGCATGAGATAAAAAAAAATGCATGTATTAAACACAAATCAAATTTTTTGTAAATGAATCTAACTTGAGCTCAACTCGACCCGGCTCGTTAATAAATAACGTGATCTCGAACACGATTCACTTATTAATAAATCGAGCGCAAATTATGACAAAGTTCGGATCGACTTGGCTCATTTGCGTTGGGAGCCTTTCCAACATAAGTCAAAAGTAGTCCCCTCTCAACCCTATATTTAAAACTCAAGTTCCTTATTCCATCAATTTGAGGTTGAAACATATCGATATGCTACAAAATAGCTATATCTAAAATGACAAATTAATTAACATTCAAAATGGGTGGAAAGGTAGCTAAAGTAATTGTAGTTGTAGAAGTTGATACGTACTTATTACTTATCACAATCTCAGCTTTTGTAGCCATCTATGTTTGATTAGTTGCGTGCTGGAATCGTTCCGATCGACCAAACCGATGCAAATTTGTCAGTTGCGGAGACATTGGAACTGGGTGATCCAGGCTTAATTTATATCTTTTGTTACAAATTTATTTTCATGTTTTTTTTTATTGTTTTTTATATAAACCGTGAGAATAATATTTTTAAACTAATAAAAACCGAGTAAGAAGCTTCAATTTGATGAATTATTTCCCAAAAATACTACTTACACTAAAAAAATCGGATGAATTTCAAAAATATACATGTTTTTTTAAAAAAATTCCCAAAATACACACGTTATAAAAAAAATTCCCAAAATACGCATGTTTGGGCATCACCGCTGTTGTCAACCGCAGTGAATACATTCACCGCGGCAGACCAAAGCGGTGAATGCATCACCGCGGTTGACGGCCGCGGTGAAGGCCCGACTTAACTCTGAAACTTCAAACAAACGTAACTTTGCGCTCGGTTATCCGATTGTAGTGAAATTTTTTTTGATTCCATATAACTTTTCAAGATCTTTCAATCTGCAACAAGACTTAATCTCAAAAAAATGTCGTTTGTTACCCCGAACGAGCAATTTTTCGATTTTTCCAAACTTTGGAAGGACATAACTTTTAGCTCCTCAATCCGAACGTCGTAAAGTTTTTTTTATTGTGCATAACTTTTTAAGAAATACAACTTTGACTAGGAAATAATTTTTTAAAAAAGAAGTATTTTTGGGTGTACGGGATTTTGGGAATAACTTTGCCTTTACTTTTCAACAATCCACATACTTTCCAAAATTATGGTTATAATAAAAGTTGTAGTACTTCAAAGTTATGCAAATCAAAAAAAGTTTCATGACATTCGGATTGTGGAGCACAAAGTTATGATCTTCCAAAGTTTGTTAAAATCGAAAAATTGCTCGTTCGGGGTAGCAAATGATTTTTTTTGGGGATGAAGTCTTGTTTCAGATTGAAAGATCTTGAAAAGTTATATGGAATCAAAAAAAAATTCGCTACAATCGGATAACCGAGCGCAAAGTTACGTTTGTTTGAAGTTTCAGAGTTAAGTCGGGCCTTCACCGCGGCCGTCAACCGCGGTGATGCATTCACCGCTTTGGTCTGCCGCGGTGAATGCATTCACTGCGGTTGACAACAGCGGTGATGCCCAAACATGTGTATTTTGGGAAATTTTTTTATAACGTGTGTATTTTGGGAATTTTTTTAAAAAACATGTATTTTGGGATTTTTTCCAAAAAAATCTTGCAATATCATATTTACACTAAAATTTCCTAAACTACCAGGATTTGGTGTGATTCGTCGTTGTGTCAAGCGAGTTAGATAGTAGTTCCCTTGACTCATGAGCGATCTACACAAGATCCCGGCCAACCAAAGCGAACCCAGCCTAGATCGTGATAACCTACTGGAGCGATCCACCCAGATCGCTGATGATTCTAGCTATCATGTCCTCAAAAACCGTTACATAACCCAACGATCTACACATAACGACACGTGTCGAAACTTCACAAATCTGTAACTTTACACTCGAATATCCGAAGGTAACAACTTTTTTTTTAAATTCTGTCTAACTTTTCCAGATCTTTTGAGATTTCTTTATTTAAACTTTGTTTGAAGAAAATTTCACCCATTTCATAATTTAAATGATATGGATAGCAGGATGACAAATTGACAATATGATGAATGTACTTGTCCAAAAATCTGAAGTAGAGTCTTTTGAAACACTCAGACAACAATGATTTTGTCCTTTCACCTACGTATGTCAAGAAGAGACAACAATAGTGATCATCGACTTCGATCTCTTCATAATATCAAATATACAAAAATTCACCACCTCTCTAATTGGTTACAAGTCGCCGTCTTCCTCACCCATTCCCACTTGCGCTCTCTAACTATAAAAAAAAAGCATGCAGTTCATCACTAATTCACCCTCATCAGTCATCACCCTTCGTTACATACAACAAAACCCAAAAATACATTTTCTCCAATCCCCCGACGTCATGCCGAGCCGACAACATCAGAACTGGTTGCTGGCGGCCCTATCATTATCACTGATAAACATTCCGGCCGGCAGCGACGCGGCCTACAACTTCTCGGTGGTGAACAAGGCACCGATCACCACGCCGGGGGGTTCTCGTTACGCCAACGAAATCGGCGGCGACGAGTACAGCTGGTTTGCGATGTCCGAAGCCGCGGATGTCGTTGTGAGCGTGCTGGGCTTCTACGATCCCAAGCCCGTCACCCAAATCAGCCTAATCATCGAGGAAGACGATATTGTTCACGCTGGTAACGAGGGCTGCGCCTATTTCAGCAACGGCAGCAACAACATCCACGTTAGTGGGAGGTAATTAACGCACCGTAGGACAAACAATCTTTATATAAGTACAATTAGCTAGGGTTGGATATATAACAGTTTGACCTGGAAATGGTAATGGGTGGTGGACTCGTTGGGTAATTTGATTCGATGGTCGTTATTTATATAGATATCGGGTCAACTCATATAAACTTACGTGCAGTTTCAATGGTTTAGAATTTAGGTTGGATATGGGTTGGATCCCATTTGAATTAACTCATTTGGGTCCGGCCCAAATGAATCTATTTGAATCTAGATGAATACCAGTCATCTCATTAACAGTGTTCGACCCAATTACACATTTATTATTGGTGTTTCTACGTTTTTGTTTGGTTCATAATAAAGGTAAGGAAAATTGCATTAAAATCATGTATCCATTTTCTTTTTTATACTCAACATTTAGACCCAAACTAAAACATTGGGTATGTATATGCCTCAATAAAAAATTATCCAAACATGATTCAATCCATTTTGAGATGAGTTTTGGCGATATCCAAGTATGGTTTTATTTTTTTTTTTACATTTGACCCTTTCTGGTTTGGAATTTGGATCAACCTAATTATGTTCTTAACTAGTAGGTCACAATAATTCGAGTTGTTGTGAGAAGTTTATTATGGTTCTTATACCACTCTCTTACACGCCTCCTAAACGAAAGTCGACTCACGTGCTTAAAATTTGTAGAGACTCACCATATTCTATACTTTAATCAACTGTTAGTATTGGGAATTGTGGAGATCGAAAGAGATGACACCCGAAAACCCAATCCTGATACATGTCATTAACAAATTGATCACCATAACTTATTCTTAAGAGAAAATACCACTCTCTTACCCACTAATCTTCGTTTTTGGTCGCCGGTGTTGGCCCATCAATTAATACAGGTACCTAGGCGACTACGAGGGCGCCGACGTGAGGAAGGAATTCACCGGCATGATTCACCACTGCATGACGCTAGTGTGGCTGTGGAACGGCGACGGTCAGGCCCCCGCCGGGTTGCTGACAGGGATCGCCAGCTTCGTGAGGGCGTACGCCGGTCTGACGCCGGCGGCCGGGAGCAAGACGACGACGACGACGAGGTTCGGGGACGGGGAGAGGTGGGACCAAGGTTACGAGGTGACGGCTAACTTCTTGATTTACTGCGAGGCGCTGCGCCACAGGTTCGTGCCGGAGCTGAACGGGAAGTTGAAGTACGGCTACGCGGACGGCTTGTTCCACGACTTGACGGGGAAAACCGTTGAAGAGCTTTGGAAGGATTACAAGACCGAGTTTGGAACTAGACTAATTAGTAATACCGTAACTAATTATAATAATAATAATGAGATTAGTTATTAAGTACGTACTGCCCGATCGGCCAGCTGGCGATCGTCGACGTTATTACGACACTACTAATTTACAGTTTTTATCAGTAATCAATCAGTTTAGGCAGCCACATTTGTGTACGTGGCGTAGCCTAACTGGAATGGTGTAGCAGCTTGGATTAATGTTTCTACGGAATACATTTACGTGTTTCCCGATCAAGTATGAGTGGATAGCTCTGTTTTTGAACCACACGGGACGCTGAGATGGAAAATTTTGTGTTGTACCATTTAGTGAATATAACAGTTAAGATTCACGTAATTGAGAAGACAACCTTTTCAAAAAAAAAAAAAAAATGGAGAGGGATGCTCTGTCCTCTCTCTTCGAATTCCTGCTATGGTTGGGAAGATGTATTGTCAGGGGAATCCTTTCCCTCTTCGCCACTAGTATGCATAACCAGCAGTCAGGCTGGAAATCAAACAAATCCAACACCAACAATTCCCCTGGAGGAGATGAGGAAACTGCCTCATTTGGTCGATACCCGAAGACGCCTCTGGGAAGAGCTTCGGAATGCTCAAGGAATGCTTATGAAAGGAAGCGCAGTCCTTACTGTGTGCTCCATAAAAGGAAAACATATCCCAGCTGGGGGGAAGATGAAGGCTTTTCGGAGTCTATCCCCAAAAAAGGTCGATGTCAATCCCTGAAGGGTTGGCGATTCCGAATCCCTTCAGCAATTGAAATGGAAGATGATGAACAGGTGGAGCCTGTGCCTGAGATATATGTAACCAGGGATCAGGCTACTGAAAAGGCCTCTGGTTCTAGAAATGTTGCATTTAATTTGGAGCCCTTTGTGTGGGAAGATTCCCAGCAGAAACCGATAATTAATCGGAAGGGTCGCCGGAGCGACGCTCTGATGATCCTGTGGCCGGCCGGCGGCATGGGATGGCCGTTGCGATTGGGGAAAACCCAATTCCGTGGGAGTCGGGCGAATCGTACCGATCTGGGCTGCGACAGATCAAATCCGATCTTCTGGGGGGATTGGGGGAGGAATCTTCGGGATCCTCGGTCTCCTAACAACCGTAAGTTACCCAGTGAGCTTGGGTTTCATAGTCCTACTCTAACTCGAAGTACTATCCGTGAGGTGGGACTCCCGATTCATTCTAGAGAAGCAGCTAGTACTGCGTTTCTCATTATTTATAGGCCTATACTACGTCTGCTGTTTCACCAATTCAAGCAATCCAGAGCTGAGGGTGGAACAAGCGTTGACGATATCTGCACCCCTTCGAGCGTGACCAATCACACCCCAGGTATGGAGAGTCCCAGCTCGAGTCCCATCCCTGTTGTTTCAAAGGCGAATGCCTCTTATAAATTGCAGCATAGTAATAGTGATGGTGTCGGCTCAGGGATCTGCAATCCCCTTTGTGCTATTGTCTCTGACTCTGCTCTCCCTATTCCGTGTATGCCTATTGACTCTTTGGAGCAGGTACGACCCATGGTGAACTTGAAGGATGAGCAGGTTGTGCAATTCTCACTTGATGAGGTGCTTCCCACACGAGTTCGGGCAGCGCGATCAGTGCTGGGGAGAGTGTTGAGCTCGGAGCAATTCACTACTGTAGAACTCCGTGAAGCCTTGGTTGAGGCCTGGCAAATCCGAGGGCGCGTTAAGGTGTCCAAAGCCAAGCACGATCTGTTCGACATTATGCTTCCTAATGAAGAAGCCAAGAGCTGGGCGCTTAAGCGAACCCCGTGGGTTGTCAAGGACAAGATCCTCACCCTCCGACCATGGGCAGCCACGATCACAAGGCCCGTTTTTGAAGAATTATCGATAGCGCCATACCGTCTCCAACTCTGGGGTGTCAAGGAAGAATGCTGCACGAGCCTCTTTGGACGGAAAATAGTGGCCTCGGCCATTGGGCAGGTGCTGGAATCGGAGGTGTTTGCCTGCAAGGATTCGGGGGAGCGGTTTCTCAAAGTGCGTACTATTATTGACTTTGCTAAACCTCTCCGATCCCAGCTGTTTGCAGATAATGCGGATATCGGAGGCTTCTGGGTTAACCTGAAGTATGAATTTCTCCCCACATTCTGCTACCACTGTGGTCGAGTAGGCCACTCGCGGCGAGAATGCACTTTTAAGCCACCCAGTGGTACAGAGAAATTCGGTCCGCATATGTCGACCAGGAAAATGGGGCGGAAGGTCTATGAGGATGAGGGTGAAGGATTCCAGTTTGGTGGGCCTCGGAGATCAGTATGGGTGAATCGCCAAGTGCAGGGCCCGGCGCAGCAAGTGCGAAACTTCACCAGGGATCGGAATGAGAAACGGGAAGCAGAGGCAGTCGAAAAGCAGGGGCATAGCCAGGCTGCAACGGTTCCTGCACAACTGCATCAGAGGAACAAAGCCATGCCCAAATCGCATTTTTCGGACAGAAAAACAAGCCCTCGTGGCTTTATTATCAAGAAATCCCCTAAGCTCCAGATGGGGGGCGAGCGAGCTAAGAGAATTGAGAGGCGTGGAAAGGCTGGGGCGAGCAAGGAAGCAGGCGCGAAAGTGAAGAGGACGGGGGCCAAAATTGCAGAATCACCGAGGGGATTGCAGGATGATGAAGTGGAGGACGACTCCTTGGCTGCGGTTTCGAGCACTCGGCGGCGGCGGCTCCTTCTGGAGGCAGACCCCGATGACGATGCACTGGAGCTGGATAAAGTGCCGGCTAAGATGGGAGATGGGGAAGACGACACGGGCCTGGCCAATGTACTTGGTGGCCACGAGCCTGCCCCCCGCGTGCCCAGGCCAGCGGATGTGATGGGCCGAGGCAACTCGATCCAGCCCCCTAGGGAGAAGGTGGGCCGGGACTCCAATGGAGGGGATGGGCCAGTGGGCCGGGACTCCAGTGGAGGGGATGGGCCAGGCCATTCTAATGCGGCTACTGGTGGAAAAACGAAGGCGGGCCGGCTGAGGAAGGCCCTGCCGCGGAAGCAGAAGGGCCCAGCCCTTGTTCGGAGCCCAGGTGGGGAGGAAGGTGTGGGTCGGGCTGGTGCTGTTTATGGACCGGCCCAACAGCCTGACTCTATGATGGGGAGGGTGCGGGCCTTAGTCTCGGCGGACTCCGAATCCGATGACGACCCCCACTGCTTTGAAATTATCAGGAGGCCTGGGCGGAGTGCTACTGCACCCAAAGGGCGCGTGAGCCAGGTTGTCGCGGCTTTTGAGGCTGGGATGGCCCTGACTGGTGAGCCGGTGGTTAGCCACAAAGACCAGGAGGTGGCACCTAAGTCAGTGCAGGAGCCGGTGGTGGAGATCGTGACTGAAAACCCAGTTCTAGATGAATATGGGTCTAATCTTCAGCACCCAAATTTTGGGACACGTAAAAGGCCCTTGACTGCTGTGGATGGAGAAGTGGGAGATGATCCAAGTCCCAAGAAACAATTTGTGGAAGATGAGGACGCTGTGAATCAGGTGGAGGAAGCCAGCCATAAATGGCCCCAGTCGGATAAATGAGGCTTCTTGCCTGGAATGTGAGAGGCATTGGGCCATCCCTCACGTTCCAAACTGCTGTTGGTCTTATCTATTCTAATAAACCGGATCTCGTGTTCTTCTCGGAGACGCGGTCGAGCCGGCGTGTAGTGTCCCGTCGTATGCGGGGGTTAGGTTTTGCTAGTTCACATTGTTTCTTTGTTGATGCTATCGACTCTTCGGGAGGGTTAGTGGTAGCCTGGGCCCCTGGGGTTGACACTTCGGTGCTGTTTCATTCCAACTTTTTTATTTGTTTGCAAGTTAATGAAGAAGATTTTTCTTATGTGGTGTTCTTTGTTTATATTAGTTGTAACACTGCTACTCGCGCTATGCAACTTGCTCACTTGAGGGAGATTTGCGAGGCTATTTCCCTCCCTTATGTGATCATTGGCGATTTTAATGCTACCCTGCACGAACATGAGAAGGATGGGGGTAGGGAGTGGAACGCGGCTCAGGCGGTTAGCCTGCGTGAGTTTGTTCATGATTTGGGTCTCCATGATCCAGGATTCCAGGGGGATCAGTTCACTTGGACAAACAAACGTATGGGGGCAGCCTGTATTCGGGAACGCCTGGATAGAGCACTTTGCTCTCAGGCTTGGATAGACGCTTTTCCGGAGACGTTAGTCAAGCACTTTACTGACCAAGGATCGGATCATCGATCGCTACTCCTTTCGGATAGACCTTATAAAAGAACCGGGCGCCCTCTCTTCCGATTTGATGCCCGTTGGGCGGATAACCCGGAAGTTCGGGCTATGGTCCACTATGTCTGGAAAGAGGATATTCAGGGTACCCCTATGTTCCGACTTTGGGAACGCCTCAAAAGACTGCGTCATCTGCTGTATGATTGGAGTAGGGCGGGTACCACGAATTCTCTGCGAAATATTAAGACGCTTCAGGCAGAGATTGATCGAATAAAAGCAGTTCACCCGGTGGACTGGGATATGATTCGAACCCTGGAAGCTGAATTGTCCCGCCAATGGGAAGCTGAGGAGATGTATTGGCAGCAGAAATCCAGGGTGCGTTGGCTGAAGAAGGGGGATCAGAATTCTGCTTATTTTCATACAGTCACGAGAACCCGGCGTAAGAAGAATTTTGTCGCTGGGCTCCGAAGGGATGATGGTGAGTGGATCACGGAGGAAGCTGGGAAAGCAACCATTGCTACGGACTTTTATCAGACCCTGTTTACCTCAGAAGCAAATGTCCCCAACATGGCGGAGCGGGTGGCTAATCTGCCGATTGACCGGAGTGTTACCCCGCAAATGAATGCGCGCCTGACTGCGGAGGTTCTGCCTATGGAGGTCAGAAAAACGGTCTTTGCCATGGGCTCGACCCAGGCACCTGGCTCTGATGGCTTCACAGGAAAGTTCTTCAAAGCTTTCTGGGATGTTGTGGGTGACTCTGTGGTTGAAGCGGTTATTTCGTTCTTTGAAACGAGTAGGATGTTGAAAAGCTTCAACCATACGTGGCTTACCCTGATCCCTAAAGTGGATTCTGTGGAGAATATTAGACAATTACGTCCGATTAGCCTCTGTCAGTTTACTTATAAGATTATAACCAAAATTATGGCGGAGCGTCTTGCTGATCTGCTTTCTCAAATTGTGTCAGACGGACAAAATGCATTTATTCGTGACCGCCAGATTATTGATAACATCCTTATTGGGCATGAGCTAATGCATTATCTTAAAATCAAGAAGCAAGGAAAGAAAGGGTACATGGCTTTGAAGGTTGACATGGAAAAGGCCTATGATAGAGTCGAATGGCCCTTTCTCCTTGCAGTTCTTGATAAGATGGGTTTTAGCTCCGTCTGGCAAGGATGGATTCATGAGTGTCTTCGGTCCTCATCGTTCTCAGTACTAATGAATGGCACTCCTTCTGGATACTTCTCTGCTTCCAGAGGCCTCCGGCAGGGGGATCCGCTATCACCTCTCCTATTTGTGCTCTGCACAGAAGGGTTTGCGGCTCTCCTCCGGAAGGCAATTTCGGAGAAGCGGTTGGAAGGGGTGAAAGTGGCTCCTCGTGCTCCTCGCATATCACATTTATTCTTCGCAGATGATTCCTATCTGTTCTTGCGAGGGTCTTTGCAGGAGTGTGAGAATCTCATTGAGGTACTGAATGAATATGAAGAACTTAGTGGCCAACGTGTAAATTTGGAAAAATCGGCAGTTTGCTTTAGCAAGAATGTTTCTCTGCCGGACCAGGAGTTTTTGGCCGCAATTCTTGGGGTTGGAGCAGTTGGGGTTCATGACAAATACCTAGGGCTTCCTACTCTGGTGGCCAGATCCAAAATGGCCACTTTTCGCTATCTTGAGGAGAAGCTCATTGAGCGGCTTCAGGGGTGGAAGCAGAAAACGCTCTCATGGGCGGCTAAGGAAACCTTGATTAAGTCCATAGCTCTGGCTTTGCCCTTGCATGTTATGTCTTGTTTCCGACTCCCCCTATCCCTGTGTCGGCTCCTGGATAGACACGTGGCCCGTTTTTGGTGGGGTGCGACGGAGGATCACTTCAAGATTAGTTGGGTGTCCTGGCGGAATATGTGTAGGAGCAAGCATGAGGGGGGCATGGGGTTTCGCCAGTTTGAACATTTTAACCAAGCTTTGTTAGCAAAAATTGGCTGGCGGATCCTGACTGAACCACAGAGCCTTCTTGCCCAGGTTTATAAAGGGAAATATTTTCCACGAGGCTCTTTCCTCAAGGCTACGGCGCGATCTCGCCCCTCTTGGGGATGGCAGAGTATCTTGTATGGGCGCCAGCTGCTAGAGAAGGGGGTTAGATGGCAGATTGGGGATGGTCGATCGGCTTCTCTGCTCCATTCCAATTGGATCCCGGAGTACCAGTTGGACACCCCTTGCTATAATCCGGTAATCCTCCCGGAGGGAGGGGATCCCTTGGTGGCTGAAGTCATATGCCAAGGGGAAGGGAGGTGGTCGGAAAGAAAGCTGAGTCAATGGTTTGATCCTCCTACTTGCAAAGCCATCCAGACTATTCCTCTTCCGCGCCGGAGTATTGCGGATAAGCTTATTTGGCATAACACAGCCGATGGGGTGTTTACGGTGAAGTCGGCTTATCATCTGGCTGTGGAGTTAGATAGGCGGAGGGGGGGATGGAGATCTGAGGTTAGTTGGATGGACAAACCTAGTTGGATTAGGGTCTGGGAAGCTAAGATTCCACCGAAGTTGAAGGTCTTTGTCTGGCAAATTCTTAACCGGGTTCTGCCTACAACAGAGGCATTGATTGGGCGAAAGGTTCCGGTGTTGCCCCGGTGTCCAGTCTGCTGGGAAAGCTCTGAGACAATGGAACATCTGTTTCTTTATTGTCCGGTCGCGAGGGCTATCTGGGACTATTCTGGGCTGGATTACCTGGGGGAGGGATTGCCCCGTCATACGTTCCCTCTATTCCTCAAGCGTCTGTTGGCCTTGATTCACCAGCCGTCGTTGGTTATGAAGGTAGTTGCGGTGCTTTGGCGGATCTGGCGGTCACGAAACTGGGTTGTCTTTGAAGGCAAACAGTTTGGGATTCCCGCGCTAATGAGACAGCTCCATCAACAGGTTGAGGAATGGATGGCTCTGCCCCGGGAGCAGACGAATGTGGTGGCAGGGCCGAGGGTTCCGGTGATGTCAGGAGAGGAGTCCGGTATGGTTTGCAGGTGGGATGGGGCTACCAGGAGGGGGTCGCACTCTGCTGGTGGGATGGTTCTTCTCCTTCAGGGGAAGGTCCTTCTGGCACAGGGGGTGCAGTTTCCTAGGCTGGATGAGCCTGCTCTGGCAGAGTTGCTGGTGTTGCGCGAGGCTTTGACTTGGTGTTTGGGGTATGGTTTCACGGAGGTTCGGTTTGAGGGGGATGCCAAGGTGCTTATTGACAAACTCAATCAGGGGAATATGATGGACAGCCGCCTGGGGGCGATCATGGAGGAAATTGGGCAATATTTGGGTGATCACCCGGGGTTTAGTGTGCGATTTGTAGGTCGGGAAAACAATAGGGTAGCTCATTCGGTAGCTAGAAAAGCCCTTTCTTTGTATCCGACTATGAGTCGTTTGTTTGATTTCAGGGCCTGGCTGGTTTCCAGGATGTAACTATTTTTTATCAATATATGATATCTTTTGACAAAAAAAAAAAAAAAAAAAAGAATATAACAGTTATAATATAAGTAACATAACGGTTAAGTGACATAAGATAAAAGAAATATATTATATGCTAATTTAGAAATTAATTTATCACTAATTATAAATCATCCGGAACCACGATATTGAAAGTGTAAATATCCTTAATTCCTTATAACTAAAATTGTGTGTGAATGTATGTCATATCAAAACCAATAAATATGCGGTTTGAGAAAATCCTACACACGCCATCCCAACAATCATGTATAAAGTTTTTTATTTGACAAAAAATATTCTTGGAATGCCTATGTAAAATGAAGATTTTTAGGTCTAAGACTTATTATGTTTTAGGGATGTGGATGAACAAATTGTTAAAATTAACGAGTCTAGAACACTACTATAACACATATTCAGGTGGGTACGCTGTGGATACTTAAAATACCAATATCGCGCCAAACCCATTACCCTATTTGTTGTGTTCGGAGAAACCCCATCCCAAGATAATATCAAGGTCGTCAACCCGTGGATCGGCCCCTGAGTTGACCCCTGGATTAACTTGTATTGACCCAGACCTAGTGAAAAAATGGGCGACACATCGCGGGTCGACCCGCCGCAATGTTCCCAGGCTGGAGGTCGATATGGTTGTCCAAAGTTTGACAAAATCCAAAAATTGCCCGTTTGAGATAGCAAACAACGTTTTTTCGGGACGAAGGCGATACCAAACAGCCTCAAACTGTTTGCGGCTTGCAAAATCTCAAAAAAATTATGCGAAATGAAAAAAAAAATCATTATGATCGGATAATTGAGAGCAAAATTACGTTCGTTCGAAATATTTAGCCAAAGTTAGGCGTTCGCCGATTCCGACAATCGTGGGGAAGCATTCAATGTTTTTTACGGCCGCGGTGAATCACTCACCGCTTCTGACAGTCACGGTGAAACTGTTCACCGCTTCTGACGGTCACAATGAAGTCCAAACTTGTGTAGATTGAGAATATTTCATAAAATGTATATTTTTTTATTTGTTTTTTAAGAATGTGTAGTTTGGGGTTGGGGAGGGGGGGATCCCAATTTTCCCTATTGGTCCCCTAGACTGGGAAATATCTTAGATTCATTACGGAGTTTTTGATTCCCTTATTTGTTTAAGGAGTTCTAAAAGAGAAATTAATCAGAATCGTTCTGGCAATCTGGCCTCATGGCTCATAGGGTGGGGTTGATCCAAAACTTCCCACTGTTATTTCCCACCAATACTGTTGAAGAAGGTTTTTGACTGAGCAAAGGTGATTAAATTAAAACAATCTGGAAAAAAGAAGAAGAAAAACAAAACTTTGTTTCATTTTTCATATGACAAACCAGAATACAATGTCTGAAGGAAGGAAAGCAAGATGAGAAGAACAGCAGCAAAAAAAGATATAAGAGCCCAGGGACTGTTGAAGTAATCATGCCTCAGCTTTGCCAGCCATTTGTACCGTTTCTTTGCACAATGAAGGTTCACTTCTTCAAACACATCACAGTAGGAGAAGTAAGAATGGGAGACGCCAACATAGTCCCCAAGCCTGTTGAACAGACTGGCAACCACTTCATCATCCCCTAATCGATTGTCGATGATCTCATACCGACGCAGCAACTCCACGTCTTTCCTCGAGTTAATCAAGCAATCCATCAGGACCATATAATCTGTGACGTAGCTTGGGTTGTTCTTCAATGGCAGTTGCTCGTACGCTATCAGATTTCGGAAGAACGACTCGGTCTCATCTTCAACTGTCAACATTGGGATCACAAAAGTCCCGTCTTTGAATTCGACATCGAACAAGGTATGTTGTTGGCCTTCTCCTTCTTCAGCTCTTCTGAACTTGACTCCAGCTTCTCGAAGCTCTGTGGCACAACGGATGAACTTGAGGTTGTATCTGGCTATAGGTTTCCCTACTGCTGTTCTTGCGTATGGAGGAATCCAATAGTCATGTGCAAAGCCTAACAAGTGCTTGATATCTTGCGCATAGGAACAACATCCTACACTGTTGTTGTTATTATCAGCATGGACAAAGCCAAGCCCTGGTGATTTTCCATAGAGGAAATGATTTACCATGGCCAGGAAGTTCCCCAACTCGTGAACCGTCTTTGTCAACTGGAACAGTTCCGAGAGAACAAAGAAAGGGAGCTGGTTCTCCAGGAGGAGAACATCTCGCATTATGCTGTACAAGTTCATTGGTAGGACGAAGATTGGGTCGTGGTTGTCAATCAATGCTGTCATTGCATACTTTCGGATTACCTCGACGAGGAAGCATCCGTCCAACAACATCATTTCGACAAAGTCATCCGAGGTGAAGGCAAAGGAATCTGCATAACATCTGCGAGCGCTTTCCTCCAGTTTCCTCATGGCTAAAACGTATCTATTCACTTGACTGTAATCCTCGATCCTCCTGCGAAGAAGCTGGCGGAGATAGTGTAATTTGTGCACCTCCATCTGCTGCAAGTGCTGCTTACCATGATGATAAGGACCTATCGCAACTACCTGGGGTTCATAAGCCCTCTCATTCACATTGCGTAGCTGTTGAGGAACCCTGAAGATGCTGAACTCAGAGGAGATGGGAGATGATCCACGAAGCTTTTCACCGATTCGAGTTGTTACACAATCAGCTGTTTCACTTTCCATGAGATGGGAAATAGTGGCAAGCTCTACTTTCTTGTTGTTGCATAATAAACCTGGGACGAGAATAGAATTGGGTTATCAGCCAGCAAATGGGAAAACCAATCCATCATCTCCAACAAGACAGAAGGTCAAAAAAAGAGCCATGCTTCATTACCAACGACAGCAAAACATTAACAAGTTTACACTCCACCAATCTCTCTCAAAGAAACGGCAAACCCAATATCCCCTCAACACAAACAAGCAGCTAAAAGCAGATTTGAGATTACAAAGAAAGAGCTGAACAGGAAGTGTTTGATATTCCAGATTTGCTTACTTGATTAGGCAGAGCTGAGCAGTAGAGGATGGGGTGTGGAAGAGGTTGGTTTGGGCGGAAAATGGAGCAGATACTTGCTCTTGTTTTGAATTGAAGAAGTAGAACGGAAAGAAGAAAGAGTAGCATAGATCCCAATGTGAAAGCAATAGGGAAGCAGTTGACTTTCATTGGTCAACCTTTGCAGTATTCAGATTTGACGGCCAAGCAAAAATCTGCTATTCTTGCTCTTCCCACTCCGTTAGTTTACAGACACAGGAAAGTTTATTAGGACACTATAATACCAAGTCAGAATTTGACAAGGAAGATGTTAGCAGAGTCAACTTGACAAGTAACAAACAGTAGGGGAAAACAGGAATTAGAAGACTTTTTTATGGGCAATATCAATTAGAAGACTTTCTAGGCCCCAATGTCCATCCATGGTTTGCACATTTATTGGAATGAAGAGTTGGAAGGATCCATTTACAAGTAAGAAGATCAATAAGAACACACAATGGTATAGCTTTCCTGAATAAGCCACTTCCACTGCATTTTTTTGTGTCTGTCTTCTCATCTTTCACCCCTTTGCTCCGGTGTCAGCCCTCCATCTCCACAGCTGGGGCAACCCTTGAGTCCAAACCCTCGACATTCAAAACACCTGGAAAAAAACCATTCCACAGAGTTGTCAATTTATCAAGCTTTTCTCCTCCATTACTGAGTACAGAGATAGCAACCCAGTAGTCTGTGTAAAACACACGCTTAACTTCCAACGCTCAAAGATGTTGCCGTTCTTTTTGTTCTTCCCCGTTCCCTGGAAACCATAATCACAATAATAATAAAAAAAGTTCAAAACTTCATTCATCCAAAATCTGAACTGCGGGAGACTAAAAGCACAAATACCTTGCATCCTGGACACTCAATGGCACGCTTGCCTTCACAAGTTCCGCACTTGCTCAGAATCTACCAGACCCAGAAGAGCATTTTATATACATGATTCAGAATAGAAACACCAGCAACTTAAAAATGGGTCGAGAGAGTAGAAGGAATGTTACAGAGTTGAGAGAGAATCCTCCGGGTTTTGCTGCGGAAACCTTGACGTCAATCCTTGATTTCTCCTCCTCCTTCCACTTTCTGCTTACTGGAGAACTCACTGGAAAGCCGAAGGCGAGCCCTTGGAGTGCTGCTGGCGGAGTGGCAATTATCATGATTTTCATTTTGCTTGCTTTCGGTGAAGCTATTTCTTGAGCTAAATTCGAAAGTCTGGCTGGCCTGGCAGGAAGAGCTACATTTTCAGGGGACGATATAAACAGGGGCAGAAATTTTGAGGCTGTGAAGAAAAAGCGAGTGGATAGACTCAACGGCGCCGTTTCCCCAAAACGACGACCGTTTACTGTGGCGTTAGCGGCGCCGGTCGGCACGAAGATCCCGTCAGCCCACCGTTGAACTTTCGAAATTGGAACATTTTATCAGTACAGAAGGAAAGGCACGAATTGGGAATTGGAATCCAAATTCCCAGGAGTTGGCGACGAATTCATTTCCCTAGCCTGATTCAATGAGGCTCACTTCCATGAAACACTTCAAAGAAACCCTAAACCACTGCTCAACCTCCTCCTCCTCCTCTTCTTCTTCCTTCACGGCGTCGTCATTACCGTCCGACCGACCCGAACCGACTCTGCTTCCAAGGAGGCCGCCGAAGTCCACCATAGCGCAGCAGCTTCAGAGGCTTGGAGTTGGTGACTTCTTTCCTGGTGCCGAATTACAACGTTCGGTGACTCAGCAGACCCAGATCAAGCAAACCCTTCAAAGTCAAACCCAGGTTCGTAATTCTCAAGAACCTGGAGGAGAAGAAGAAGAAGAGGAGGAAGAGGATGGAGACGAGACGAAGTTCGCAGATTTCGGGAGGCGTGAATCGGGTCGATTTCAGTTTGATCATACTGGGCCCTTTGAGCCTTTGGTCCTGTCTTCACCTGCAGAGTCCCCTGTTGTGCAGGTAAATGATTTCATCTGCATGTTTGCCAAGTCAAAGGTGTCTTCTTTGATCATGAAATTGAGGTTAGAGAGAAAATCTATAGCTTTTCAGTTGGGAGGAGTTTCTATGTAAGAAACTAAGAGATCAGTTTTATCATTCTGCAGAATCACCGATTACAAACATTATTTTTCTCTATATAATTGCAGGTTCCTGCATCTATCAACTGTAGGCTGCTGGAACATCAGAGGGAGGGTGTGAAGTTTCTCTACAAGCTCTACAAGTGCAAACATGGAGGTGTTCTTGGTGATGACATGTTAGTATCTCCTTCTTACCTTGGTGCAATTTGAGAGTACTTGTCTGTAGCCATAGCTGTACAGTGACTGTCGTCAGTAGGGCATCATTTTTTTGAGATATCAACTATTACCCAGAACAAGTAGTCCCATCGCCACCTTACTGTTTCCTTCAGCAGATATGGCCAGGATTTCTAGATCAATCTCTTTGTTGGTTCGCTCTGCTGTTGAAGGATTTCAACGAATTAGGTTACTTCTTTGGTAGACTATTTGCTGAGTAGTGTGACTAGATCTTGCCAATGTGAATGTCTAAATTTCTGTTTATGGGGAATCAACACTAATTGCTGAGCACATTTGTCTGGATAAATTGAACACTTTTGCTTTCTCCTCTGTCATTCATTGTTAGAGTCGTCTGCATAGGAAACTGGAACCCTATAAGTCAACTTTATAGAGCCACCCATTCTGTGGGCATGTTAGGGGTGGGATCGTACAGCTCCTGTGTTTCTGATGTAGACTGCATTTCTGTCAAAATTTTGGGTTCAGGGGACTTGGCAAAACAATTCAAACAATTGCATTCCTGGCAGCTGTCTTTGAAAAGGACGGAGAACCTGGTGAATCCTCCGTTTCAAAGCAAACTTGCTCGGACCCTAAGGGCCCTGTTCTAATCATCTGCCCTAGTTCTGTTATCCAAAACTGGGAGACGGAATTCTCTAAGTGGGCGACATTTAATGTTGCTATGTACCATGGCTCGAACCGTGACTCGATCCTCGACAAACTTCCATCTCGTGCAGTCGAGGTAGTCATTACCAGTTTCGATACTTACAGAATCCATGGTACCATCTTGTCAGATATCAAATGGGAGGTTGTAATTGTTGATGAAGCACACCGCCTTAAAAATGAGAAGTCAAAGCTGTACACAGCTTGCTTACAAATCAAAACCCCCAGGCGTATTGGTCTCACAGGGACCGTGATGCAAAACAGGATAATGGAACTTTTCAATCTCTTTGATTGGGTTGCTCCCGGATCCTTAGGAACACGGGAACACTTCCGAGATTACTATGATGAACCTCTGAAGCATGGCCAGCGGTCGACAGCTCCAGAGAGATTTATCCGGATTGCTGATGAGCGGAAAGAGCACCTTGTAGCGGTCCTTGGGAAATATATGCTTAGGAGGACAAAAGAAGAGACTATTGGCCATCTTATGATGGGGAAGGAAGATAATGTAGTTTTCTGTGCCATGAGCGAATTGCAAAGACGGGTTTATCAGAGAATGTTGCAGCTACCAGACATCCAATGCCTTATAAACAAAGACCGACCCTGTGGCTGTGGTAGTCCTCTAAAACAAGTCGAATGTTGTAAAAGGACTGTACCAGATGGAATAATCTGGCCTTACCTACACAGGGATAATCCTGAAGGTTGTGATTCGTGTCCCTTCTGCCTAGTTCTTCCTTGCCTTGTCAAGCTTCAACAGGTGAGTGTATGTTTTCCAATTTATGTTTTCTAGTGAACAAAGTTCTGCTCCTCATAGATTGATTGCTTTACACATACAGGGTCAAGTCTTTCAGATTTGAATACTTGTGCTTTCTGCCTGATTGTGCTCACATGCTGATCCTATTAACAGATCAGCAATCATTTGGAGCTGATTAAGCCTAATCCCAGGGACGAACCAGAGAAACAGCAAAAAGATGCAGAGTTTGCCTCGGCAGTCTTTGGTCCTGACATTGAGTTGGTGGGAGGGAATGCACCGAGTGAGAGTTTCATGGATCTCAGCAATGTTAAGCACTGTGGAAAGATGCGTGCTTTGGAGAAGTTGATGTCTTCTTGGGCTACAAGGGGTGACAAGATTCTTCTGTTTAGCTTCTCTGTCAGGTAAAAAAACAGCTTCATAAGTCATAACTTTCCACTACTGTTCCATGAGGCCTTCATCTACTAATCCACAGTTAAGTTTTGTTTCTTCCTAGGATGCTGGACATATTGGAAAAGTTTCTTATACGGAAAGGCCATAGCTTTTCAAGACTTGATGGTTCTACCCCAACCAACACGCGCCAAGCTCTGGTTGATGATTTCAACTCAAGTCCAAGTAAACAGGTAGCTCACTCTCTCCATTCTCCATGCACAGAGTGCGACAGAAATGAAAAATTGTTGTTCTTCATGACTTTCTCTGCAAAACTAACCTCCAAAGTCCTCAGGTGTTTCTGATATCTACCCGTGCCGGCGGGCTTGGGCTGAATCTTGTGAGCGCGAACAGAGTTGTGATATTTGATCCCAATTGGAACCCAGCCCAGGATTTGCAAGCCCAAGACAGATCCTTCCGCTTTGGGCAGAAGCGCCACGTCGTGGTTTTCCGCTTGCTAGCGGCAGGTTCTTTCGAGGAGATTGTGTATTCCCGTCAGGTTTACAAGCAGCAGCTGTCCAATATTGCCGTCTCCGGCAAAATGGAAAAACGTTACTTTGAAGGCGTTCAGGTTTCATGTCCAACCGCCCTATTTGAGTTGCTAATTTTTCAGCAAAAACCTGAAACAAACACACCCTTCTCACTTTTGGTTGCTTGTTTTTCAGGATTGCAAAGCATTTCAGGGCGAGCTGTTCGGAATCTGCAATCTGTTTCGTGATCTATCTGATAAGCTTTTCACCAGTGAGATCATTGAACTGCACGCGAAACAGACCAAACAACAAGTAGACCAAAGCACCAGCACAAGGCAGGAAACAGCGGAGATTGGGTCCCGTTTTCTTCCTGAACAGCTAGGGATTACAAACTTATCGAGTACCGCGACTGATGCTCGTGGAGATCTCGAGAGGCCTGTGCTTGAAGAACTTGGTATCCTGTATGCTCATAGGAATGAGGACATTGTCAACTACGGACAGGGAACGACCAAAGAAACTGAAGAAGAAAAGAGGATCTCGGAGAAGGGTAGCTTGGCGATTTCTGTTAATAAACGGAGAAGGAAACAAGATGATGCGGGTGGCAAAGAGAATGGCTCGGAAATCGAGGATTGGAAGAAGATGCAGTATGGTCTCGTGGCTGAATTCATGGGCATGGAAGTACTGGAATTCAGCAAATGGGTACTTTCAGCAACTCCTTCAGAAAGGAACAACTTGCTCCGGAGTTTCAAGAAAAAGAAGCTTAAGATGCCCAATGGCTGAATTGTTTCCACTTGAAATCTTCTTCACTACACTTTTGTGTGTAAAATTTATGTTGCGATGTACATGCTTAGCCTATCCTGTAACTGTGAAAGTCTGCCGAGTCCCAACTTGTAACTGTAAAAGTCTGCACTCTGCACACTAAGTTGTTGTAGAAATTTTGCTTCTTGAGATTAATAATAGCACCAGAACACTTGATCTATGTTCTAGAATTTGGACATTCGAGCATAGTTCTCAACCAAACAAGTTACGACCTATTCTATCACTAATGTAGGCACAACAGTCATCATCTATCTTAATTCTAAAAACTTGCTCTAAATGTTTTGGATTACCACTCGGATATAGTTTCCCAGTCTTGAAGCTCTCCCTAAACGATATCTGATGTAGCTAAAGGAGTAACAATCTACCTTAAACTCGATATTTAACATGACAGCTATCTTCTCTGCATCTTGAATCTGGAAACTGGTCTTGAAGGCTTGGATTGAGAATCAGAAGGCTGAAAAGGTTGAGTGCACAGTGTCAAGAACTGGTAACGATAAACAACCAAGGAAATGACAATGCGCAAATCTCTTTCTAATAGGTACCGGCAAAGTTGCAGACTTAGTGGTGAGTACATCAGTTGAACGTTCCACGATAGAGCCGGTAAAAGCCTACATCACATGGGGATGTGGTATGCATTAAGAATAATCTAAACGTAAAATCCAAGTTCTTCCATTGTCATAACCACAAGGACTAAAAAAGATACCTTGGAGCTGTCAAAACCAGATTGTGAGGCCTCGGTCTACAGGAAAAGAGAGCAATAAAGTTAGACGTGATCATTAGATTAGGATTTCAGAACATTTGAACCGACTAATTGCAAATTCTTCCTCCTTGAAAGGAAAATGATAGGGGGCAGACAAAGTGAACACACAAGGCAACCAGTGACTTAGCTAGTGTGTTGTCATTGCTCAGTGATAGAGTTCACAAGACCGTGGGAAATTAAAGAGATGGATGCATGATAAGCAACCACCAGTAGCAAACAAGCGAGGTGAGAGGATAATACAAATAAGTGCAGTTGTACCTTGGAGCTATTAGAAGGTGGTCTTGCAGACTGCATATGTACCTAAACGAAAAGAAGAATTGTCATTCGTCAAGTTAAGACATTCAACACTGTAAAGTGTAAAGAGATTTTAGGGGAACGAAAACATTCAGAAGAGATCCATGCACCACATAGAGAGATGCCTATTCAACTTGCATATGTATTGCAGCAAGAAAGGCCACAAATTTTCTAACTGCTTTGCCGAGTACAGAGAGCTCAGAAGACTAATCAGATGTAAGAACTCTATAGATAATGAGCATATAAATTATGTACCGGCTGTGTAGCTGAGGACATTGCTTCTATTTTCCCTTCGGGAAGTACTGAAGCCTTCTCATTGCGTAAGTGCCTCTTTGTCTCGTGAGTTGAACTTTTGCTACTCAACTTTTCAGCTAAAGCCATGAAGGAACATGATCAATAAAATGTCAGTTCGAATAATAGCCAACCACTAATGCATTTTTAACGTTCACGAGTTTCAAGCACAATATCCAAAGAAATGCTAGCCATGAAAGCAACACGTGGAATGGCATAAGAACAATCATACAAAGAAAGAATTCAAACAGAAAGAAAAGGACAGGCAACCTTCTGCTCTGAGGTACGTATCATCATCAGGCATGTAAGGAGGCAAAATAATGAGAGGGCAAAGCCTAGTTATGCACATAAGTGATTAGTAGACACACTGAACAAAACAGTCATGTAAGTATAGCTATCCTCGGCAAAAGAACACTACAGTTGCTACGCTGAAGATAAAGTAACAAGAGAGCATTCCAATTAGTTGTCGGAACCTTCATTTACCATCTAAACCCTTTTGTTCCGTACTGATGCTTTGTTGATTATGCACAACCTTGAAAAAACTAACCTTTGGGAAGCGGCTGAATTGTTGATCCAGTACGCTGCATGTCCAAAAAAACAGATAAATAATATCATTGCAATGGGAAAACAAATTGAAAAATTAAATGATGGCAAGATCTCTTACATTTTGCTCGTCATTTAAACTCAAGTCGCTCTGATACTTATTGGATAAAGCTTCAGCTGCGACATCCTCAATTTTCTCCTGCTCTTGTGGTTTCCTTTGCTGGTAATCATACTTTGTTAGATATAGAGATGGTAAATCACTGACCACAAGATAATCATCTATAACTCTAGTCTTTGACCAATTAGAAGCCATTAATAGCAGAAGTTACCATTGAGTGAGTCTGATATAGCAGCAGATCGCCAGATATTGCATTTTGAAAGTGCTCAGAGTTCACAGTATCACTTTCTATAGTGTTACTTTGTTCTTTTTGTTCATTCGCATCCTCAAGGGCACCATTAGCCACCGGATCATCTTCAATACTCTCGTCATCATCTTCAGCTGCAAGTTCTTCTTTCTCAAGCTCATCCAACCTCGCCATCAAACGAGTATATTCATCATCATCTTCAACCATACGTGTCTTCTCATTCAACCCAGGACTCTCTCCTTTACCTTTTAAAGCTGAACCACACAGAAGAGAGCTAACCATAAGAATGAACATAACCAGACATAAAGATCAAAGTAACTACAGAAAAAGAAAACATTTCAAACAGCCAAACTGCTTTGAGGTCGACGGTGTCATAAACTTTAAAGCAAACTACTGATGTAAGATTCGATCACCTGCCTGATTCAAAATGTTCTTCACCGAGATCTTCATCCACATAATCTTCCCTTATCTCCACAAGACCCTCCTGTGTCACATTAAGTAAAAAATTTGCATTAGTCTCATATATAAGTTGAATAAAAGGAAGCAGCTTTTCAAACACAGAAAAAAAGTTCTGTTGAATTTCAAATACATAGAATTGACAAAGTAGGTATGAAAAGAGTTGCAGATAATACATAAATGTTTGACGCAAGAAGCTTCAAACAGTAGGTGAAAAGAGTTACAGATAATACATTTAATTGATTCATGTTGAAAGCATGTGGATTAGTCAAAGACTAGTTTGCTGTACTGTGAACAAGAATCCAAATAAGTAATGTATAGCGAACTGTAAATCAAATGTTGTCGCATAATAAAGTAGCAACATGAACATATGACAAAAACATTCCTTGATGCAATTTAGGTTATTGATCAGCACTTCCTCAACACATTAATATCCTACTAAACATGCAATACCAAAACTCACTGTCATGAAGTCATCAATGAATGTCAACAGCCACAGCACAGCAGAGAGACACTTACAAAGATGGAGACACATGCATGCCCATACATGATCCATTGATCAATTGGATAACAGTCCTCCAAAGAGAAACAAACACAGAAGCGAGATAGTATGAACTTACAGCTGCTTCTGAAGCCGTAGTATCAAAAAAGGAAGCCTCAGCTTTAAGATCCTTAATGTTGGCCTTAAGAGATTCAACTTGAGAATCCAAAGCCTTCCCTCTCCTTTTCAAAATGTCAGCAGTTTGCTTCGATGTTCTTTCGGCATAGTATCCTTCTCCGAGAAGAACCTGTACAATAAGGTCAACTTTTTACAAACTAGAAACTTTGACGACCTCGTGGCAGACTAACAAATTAAAATAACTCTGTCGAGAACTTGGCATCTACCCTTCTTGAGGAGACATCACAGTTCCACTAACGAGATACATATAATCCAAGAAAATACTAATAACTCAAACATACAGTTTTAAAGAAAATGGAAGAAACCAACACCATTATTCACAACGGTAACCCAAAGAAGAACACATCGTACCACAAACTCATTAGTGTGTATCAACCGACCAGGAAAAAATGCTGCCTTTCCGAAAGGAACCTACATGACACAGAACAAGAATGAAAAACGCAAAGCCACAGGGAAACAAAAACGATTTACGATGCAAGCATAATGATCCATAAGAGATATTCCACTTGCCATGATATCATGGTGAAGCTCCTCGGGTAGTTTAGAGACGAGGTTTATAATGCTGTTATTATCAGCGATGAACTCTTTGAGATGGTCCATCTCCTTCTGCTTCTCTGCAATTTTTTCCTCAACTCGCTTCACTGCTTTATGAGCCTCGTCCACAGGGAAAAGTGATGCGAATGGAGTTACTTCCCCTCTTGGTGAACCCATGGTTGCTCTGGCGTGGAGAAGTTTTATCACTTTACACGGAGTCTCAAACTTAGGGTGAAGGTAACTGGCGGCAAGAAAGCCGTTCCACCAAGCTGCAATACATAAACAATGCTTCAGATAAACAAAGTAAAAGCAAATGATATTATCGATCGCTCTGTAGCTCAACTTGGTTTCTCCACCTAGTAAACCTTTATTAATTCAACGATTTCTAAACCTGATCATACGAAATTGAGCAAGGGAGTGGGTAATTTTCCGGAACCTGGTGATGGAGGAATGTTCAGTTTAGGGAAGAGCTGGTCAGCGAGGAAGAGAGCGGACGATGGCTGGACGAGCGAGGGGGAGGCGACGAGGCTGGTCTATGGCGAGAGCTTGAAGGCGGGTGAACGCTTGAGGGCTTCGCGGAGGGTGGACTATTTCGGTTTTAGCTGTTTTCCGGTTTTAACCAGCACCGACTAACACACAAAATTGATTTTGGGCCGGTTTCGAGATCGATTCTAGTCAAACCTGGTCCGATCGACCTGTCTGACTGTGATTTGACAAATATGGTTATTATACTAACTTCAATATCATTTTAGTGTTCTGATGGCTCTCTAGTTCATCTGGGAAGAGCGGAATAGTCAAGCTTTGGAACAACAACAAAATTAGAAGAATTTGAAATCATGGGCAAAATAGAGAGATGACTATCAGAGTACCTGGATCATCAACAGCGGACGACAAACGGTCAAGCAAAGAGAGAGCACCAGACCCCCTTCGACTGCAGATTTTTAAGGTTAATCATGATGTTGCATGCTTTTCGAGAGAGATCTGAGGGATAAGGAAGGCAGTTTCTGCTTCGCAGCTTTGAAAAGAAGTCGGATTCAGTGGCCACCAGAGATGGCGCAGTGCTTGGCGATCGGCTGGGGAATTGATTTGGCGATGGAGAATGGCTTTGGTTCCTGTGAAGTGGAGTCAGACTGTCTAGGTGTGGTTCAGAAGCTCCAAAAGGAGGAAACGACGTTGTCGAAAGAAGAATGATATGTGATGAGCTCAGAGATCGAATCAAGGAGCTGGGCTCGGCCCAAATAATTTTTCCGGGCCAATCCAGTAACCAAGCTGCTCATTTAATGACCTATATCTCTTGTAGATGGAATGAAACTGAAGTGTGGAACTCTGAGATGGGATTAGGGGTGTTCAAACGGTTTGGTTACCATAGTAACCGTTTTAATCGGTACTATTTGGATAATATGGTTTGGTTAATTTGGATAATTGGTTTGGTTTTGTTAAAGTTTTTAGCTTGTTTAGTTTAGGTGGTTTGGTTTCAAACACTCCTAACCAGTCAAACCAAATTAACCAATTAAGTAATTAGTCATATATACACATACTTAATACTTTGCATAACCACTCAATAGTTAACGTTCATCCCTTTTAGACTCATAAAACATAAAGTCCAATATTGCTCATATAGTGTATATTTGTATATGTAAAGTGCTGACCACAACATATGGACGCCTAATTTAGATAAATTTCATACATTATGATGGATGAAAACTTGAAAGGAAGGTAATTTCTAGCCTATGATAATTGCTAAGAGACTAAGTCAATTTACTAATCGTAAGATAATTGTCTTAGTTGCATGTATTTTTGTTAAGGGTCAACTATAACTACGTGTTGATTGGTATGTTTTATTCATTATATAAATTGTGAATTGTTGCATTAACCGGAATATTTTCATCGTCAATGATAATGTGTTTTTATATTGGTTAACCTGGTTAACCAATTAACCAAACCGATTAAACTTTAGTTTAGTTAATTTGGTTGTTGTATTAGTATGGACGGTTTGGTTATGATATTGTATTCCATGGTTAATAGAATTAAAGTTTATTTGGTTTGGTTATAACTATGGTAACCATTTGAACACCCCTAGATGGGATTAGTGGCTAACTCCATATGGGTTAGCACCATCCTAACTAAACTAATAATCATTAGATTAAAAAATAATCTTAGGGTCAGAATTAAATAAAGGATTGTTTGGTCAATACTCCATCAAACCCTAATATAAATACTAATTTTTGCATACCGTTTCCCACAGCCGCCCACTCTCCCCCATCCGCTCTCAATCAATCAAAGAAACTGGCTTCTTCTCTCTCGCTGAAGCAACCAAATCTCCGGCCGAAGTCGAATAAGCAAGCGTTGCCCTTCATCGCGATGACCTAGCCCGCCCCGACATCTGCCTCGACACCGCCCGCCGATCTCGCCATTGTCGACGAACAGGACGCCTCAATGATGTTGATTCTATCGCAGCAAGCAAGCCCATTTCGACTCAACCTTGTCACTGCGGCGCCACAACAAGGCCAATTCTGTCGAAGATGGCACCCCCGACGTCTCTCTATGTTGGTGGAACTCCACCTCTCGACAATTTGGGGGACCATACTTGCGTCTCTCTTCCTGCTCATATCTACATCCCAATCGTCTCTCTACGTAAAGCGGTTGTATACAGGGAAGCAAAATGGCAATGGAGATTTTTACAAACTGAAGGGTTAAAGGTCGTCCTAGAAATTACTAATCGTCGTCCTAACTTAATACGTAAATTACTTAATTACCCTTTTTAAAATTCAAAAACAAACCCTACCCAAACAAACCCTTCAGCAGACCCTCTCCCTTCCTCTACCCGCTGCCGACTTCCCCAGCAGTAGAGACCCGCCGCCCCACCCACGCCGGTGACCCGCCGCCCCACGTCGCCACGCCGCCCCGTCGCCGTCAGCCGCTCCCCCGTCGCCGTCAGCCCTTCCCAAGTCGCCTGTCATCCGCTCCCCCGTCGCCCGACAGCCGCTCCCAAGTCGCCGTCAGTCCGCACGTCCCACGCCGTCCGCCGCGCCTCCACTCGCCGTCGCCTTCGCCGTCAGCCCTTCCTCCTCCAGTCGCCTGCCGTCGCCGGAGAAGAAGGTAACTGCCGACGCCATTCGTACATCGACCGAAGCCGCCGTTCGATTGGCCATCGGTCAAACCGAGGTCAACGTTCGGTTGGCCTTTGGTCAAACCGAAGTCAACTTTCGGTTGAGCCATGGTCAAACCGAATGTTGACTTCGGTTTGACCGAAGGCCAACCGAACGTTGACCTCGGTTTGACCATGGCTCAACCGAATGTTGACTTCGGTTGGACCATGGTCAAACCGAAGTCAATTTTCGGTTAGTTTTTATTTTAAATAATTTTAATGTAATTAATTAATAAAAATTATTATTAAATATTGTAAATTAAGTAATTTTCGGTTGGTTTTATTTTTAAATAATTTTAATGTAATTAATTAATAAAAATTGTTATTAAATATTGTAAATTAAGTAATAATTAGAAATAATTGTAGTTAATTAAATAAAAATTATTAAAAATTATCTAAAATTTGTAAAAAGTATCAAAATTTTGAAATATAATCTGTAAATTTGTAATTAATGTTAAAAAAATATTAGAATAATGGAAAAATTAAAAAGTAGTCGAAATTAGACAAAAAGACTAAGAAAGTTGTAATTAATGTTAATAAATTGTCAAAAAGTTACAAAAAAAATTAGGGGAAATTATCAGAAAATATTAATGCATTTGATTATCATTAATTGTAATTTTTTTTTTTTAAGATGTCTGGACATGGAATAGGCAAACCGTACATGAATAAGAAAAGAATGGAAGAAAAAACGGAAGGAAGAATGGAAGTTCGTGCTTGTAGACTTACAGCGACCGGTAGAAAAGAAAATGAAGAAAAAAAATCCACATAAGGTTAAGGGGAAGAAGAAGAAGGCGGAAATAGGGCGTCCCGACGGTCGCCCTACTATGGGACAGTTATCTCTTAGTCGAGGTACTACCTCCACCCCTACTCCTGAGGATGCGACGCCGTGGGAGGCTAATTGGAGTGATTCAGTTTCTATGGACGACGACGATGGTGATGATGATGATGATGATGATGTGGCTGGTGATGAGGTTGGGGATGTCCCACCTGAATCTGATGTAGGCGTCGGTAAGAAGAGACGAGTTGGGACATCTTCTACAGCTTCTTCGCACTTTCCACAGCGTGGGCTAGATGGACGCTACGTTGTGAGACGTAGTAGTGAGGAAGACGGTGATGGTAAGAAGAGGAAGAAGGGAGTGAGGGGGGACATGTCGTGGCGCCTGACATCGGAGTCTCAGATGTGTTCAGGTGGACCTGTGATTCCCGATGTGATCCCTAGCTTTGGAGGTCACATTGCCTTTGCATTGTGGACTTCCCCAGCGCAGGATCGTGGGTTGTTGGATTGTTGTCATAGATCTGGTAGTGTGGAGTCTTTGAGGAGATATGAGTGGAGTTCAGAGGGTTCCCAGAAGGTGGTTGAGGGCACAGGATTGTCCCACTTGGCAGGGTGTATGATGCAGCATTTAGATACAGGTTTGATAACGGCATTTGTGGAGAGATGGCAGCCGGACACGAACACCTTCCATATGCCATTTGGAGAGATGTCGATTCTTCTCCACGACGTGCATCACATTCTTTGTATTCCAGTTGAGGGGGAGCTGATGAGAGATGATCCGCATCCAGATGTTCTTAAGTTAGACATGCATGATCTAGTTCGGGTCCCGGTGGATGGTCCTGTTGGTGGTAAGTGGAAGTCGAAGTGGTTCCTTAATAGTGGTATACACGCAGAGGGATTGTTGGTGCGTGGACGAGAAATGAAGATTAGGGACCTGGAGGTGCAGACTTACTTGTTTGTGTTGTTGGGATCCACACTTTTTGTGGATAAGAGTCGCGATCGCCTCCGTCCTGCGATCAATGTATTTCTGAAGGACTAGCGACGAGTGGTCGGTTACGCCTGGGGAGCTGCTGCACTCGCCTATCTCTACAGACAGCTAGGGATGGCCACACGAGTGGGGAGTAAGAGTATTTGTGGTTGTTTGACTCTGCTTCAGGCGTGGATATATGAGTACTTTCCACTCTTCCGTCCGAGCCAGATTCTCCAGGCTGCAGATGCTCCTCGTGCTTCCTCGTGGGTGTGTCACCGCTTTGCAGGTGGTGATGATGCTAGATAGCGCTTGGTACGGTATCGCCAGATGTTGGATGAGATGTCAGGGGAGGATGTGTCTTGGACTCCTTACGGGCGAGATGCTGGCACGGAGGTACTACGCTCTTTGTATACTGGTGTCATTCGCTTTGCTGACGTTGCTGAGGGTTATGATCTTGCACGGTGTCGCCGACAGTTTGGGTACCGACAGACTATCCCCCGTACGATGATGGTTCCCAAGGATGTGTACCGTCCAGCTTCTTGCAGCACCTACATCGTTTTCTGGGAGGGTAGCATGGATCAGTTATGGGGCAACTTGCCGTCTCATTTTCTACACATAGCGATTGATTCTGACTTGTGCGAGTATCCATCTGAGGCCGATGAGGATTACATGGACTGGTACCGGACTCGATCGCACCCATGGATCATCAATCCGGACTCTGGTGGAGTGTCTCTACAGCGGCCAATGCTGGTCGATGAGGTTAGTTATGTCATAATTGTTCAATTTTTAATGTATTGTTAATATGCTTTTTTTCCATTCATGACATTATTTTTGTATTTACAGTTGAGGAAGCAGATTGTGGAGAAGCTTGGTCCTGTGTTGGTGGTGAGGGACAAGGATCACTATGTGGAGCATGCATCTGAGTACTACGATATGATGAGTGAGGTTCACGAGTTGTATGACCAGTTAGTCGGAAAGGCTCCTTAGTGGAGTGTGGCATTTCTCGATTATTATCCTTGTACTTTATTTTTATTTGGAATTTCTAGTTTGTTTATATTTATTTGGAATTGCTAGTTTGACTTTGCCTGTGAGATGATCTAACTTTTGGAATTTTCAGATGATTGGAGTTTGTTTCTTTTCCATTTCTAAAATAGTAAATCAAGAGTTGCATCAAATACAATAACTACAACTACATCTAACCATCAACCGGTTGGGTTTAATCTATCATAAAATTGGCGTTCTTGTGAGAAGAATTGGTCCCAACCATGGACACTAGGATCATGATAAATAGGCCAAAGCCCATTAATCGGAGGCAATGGCACTTGACCAGGTCGAAAGTCAAGACGCACCCAATGACATCCCGTAAAATATAGTGATACGATCCCACGTGGTCTTGTTACTCCTGGTGGGGCAATCACAGGTAGCAAGGTATAACGACCGCCTTGACTATAGACAGCAATTACCCATGAATGCAATGTGGCAAAGACGAAAAGCTCCACATTATCCATCCAGTGGGTAACGCCACAACCACGATCTTGAGTCCACCTGCAACGCCGAAGCCCATTATCTATTCCATCGGAAATTCCATCGTAGTATGGTCTGTAAAGCTCAGGTCGGGCTTCAAGCTCTTCTACAACGACACGTTTCATCTGCAACCAATTGTTTTGGGACCCGGTAAGTGCTTGTGATATTGCTCGAAATCCGCAATGTCCATCCGGTTCTGGGTTGAACCAACCACGAATGTATGGTTGCACGTAAGTTTCCAAACAATACAACCACGGGTAACTCCGCCAACCAGTATTGGGAGTCCTGATAACCCTCCAAGGGGCACCATCTGTCCCAAAATACACAACACAATGAATTAATACAAGATGTATACAACATCTAATAATCTAAAATAGGGACACTACTTCTAACCTGTATCATTATGAGTATCCGGCTCCGTCCCATTCGTATTTGTGGACTCGAAGTTGGTGTCTGCATCAGGGATACCACCTAATATCATTTACAAAAATAAGTTAGTTATACATCATATTCTACACAATTGAATATAAATTTCCCAAAAAGTACAACCTACCTGTCCTCTGGTCATTGTCCGGTGTTGTGGTCGAAGGTATCGAACTTCTCCTGCCCCGTCTCCTCTCCACATGCTCGAAATGAGATAGGTTTCGCGTGGTGGATGTCCTCGGGCGACCGGGTCGGGGATGCCCCCCATGCGGCTCATCAATGCCATCATTTTCAGGATGAAGATGACTCCGAAGTAGGCCAATAGCCCCTCAAATGGTCTCATCTCCCCTATCAAGAACCTCCTGTACTAGACCTTGGAAGACATCACGATGGTAAAGACTACCGTCATCCCACTGACTCACTCCTACTGTCACTCTAGAAAATGGCCAAGTGTAACCACTTCCTAAAGCGTAGTATAGCGAGTTTGGGTTTCAATGTCAACCCGGGTCCTAGATGTGATGACTACTCAGTGAATTCGTATTATCTAGCGATGAAACTTTAGTGAAGGTCTAAACTAACAAACAAGCAAAGCGACTAAACGGTTGTTTTCAGGTTAAGATAGGTCACCCGGATATGGTTCCCCCTAGTCTGCAGTTAAGCCGGATTGTAATTACCAAGTTCAATTTCTATGATAGTTATACTGCGGAAGGTTCTCAAACAGCCTGAAGTCTCGACTAAAGGTCTTCAGACCCTCTCAATCTGAGTCTCTAGCGGGCGACTAACCTCCACCGGAGTAAACAGATTGAGGCCCTAACGAACCAAACCTCCACTACCGAATGGGATTCGGTACAGAATAGCGAATTGGCTCCTCGACTAAAGTCACCAATTCGCCACCTTCAATCAAGGATACTCTATTAACCTAGGCAGATATTCTCATTCTAGGTTAAAGTAGAAACAACAGGAATTTGATCAGGATTCAAGTCATTCAATCATTCAAACCTCAATCGAATATAATCAAGTCATAGAAACAGTACTTGGGTTCATACAATCAATCCTAACATACAGAACTAGGGTTCCCACATCCAGATGAATGGGAGAACTACTCCATGGAGAAAGAAGCAAAAGCAGAATCAGACACGGAAATCATACAGTGAAGATGGATTTCTGCTCCTGGACGTTGAATCGGCACTTCTCCAAGCTCAAACCAAGCTCCAATGGTGTTGAAGATCAAGCTAGGGCACTTGGAGACTCTTGTTCGTCGCTTTCTCTCTCTAGGAATCGCTCTGTCTCTCAAAAACTCGAATCTCCTTCTGTTTTGCTCGGAATCCGCTTAAAAACCAGAATTTCCCGACTCGCACGGCCAAGCCGCACGGCCGTGCATATCACCACTTTGGCCGTGCGGCTCAAAACGCGGCGCATCAATTAATCGACCTTCAGCCATCTCGCACGGCCAGGGTTGCACGTTGCACGGCCGTGTGAGTTTCAGGGGTTGCCCGTGCGTGGCCTCGGCAAAAAGCGCACGGCCTGGATTGCATGTTGCACGGCCGTGCGAGTTTCATGGTCTGCCCGTGCATGCTCTCGCAGAATTCCGCACGGCCATCTTGCTCACATGCACGGCCGTGCGAATCCCTGGTCTGGCCGTGCAGCCTCCTTGAAACCTCGCCATTCGTCCGAACTTCGTCCAACCGACCCCAGACTCGCTCCCAAGCCTTCATTCCCGTACTAGGACCTGAAATATCACAATCAAGCACAACCTAGCGTGAAATCGGCCTAAAACACGAGAATCAATACCTCAAACGGTGTAAGAACGGGGGCAAAAACATGTGTAAATAACAGTCTATCAAACTCCCCCACACTTAACCGTTTGCTTGTCCCCAAGCAAACCTAACTCAAACCAATGCAACTCTCCAGACCTCTATAGCAACAAACAACCTCGATCGTAGGTAGAGGACTTCCTAGATCATTTAGCAACTTACGAGGTCAACCGACGCACAAGTCATCTCATAACTTCTTCGGCGAGAACACTAGTCCCGAGTCGGCATCATGGTAAATAGTGAACAGAGGACAAATGAATCGTGGATGCAGAGACTCTCAAAAACAAAGATCATGGACTCACATTAATTCCAGGTGCTCGATTTTCTTTTTGAAACTGGTTGGAACCCCTTTTCTTTCTTCTTTTTGCTTGTTTTTTCTGTTTTGTCTTTTTTTTTTTCAAGGGTCCAACCTGTTTTCTCAGAAAACGGGGGCTCCCACCTAGCAAAGGTTTTGCGGGAGCCCGGCTCTTACCGGCCATGCCAGGAGCAGTTGTCTCGAGCCTCGTGCGGGGGAAAGACATGTAAGGGGGCTGGAGGTAGTAGGTGGAAATTGGGAACGGATTCCCGTCTCCCCTTACACACTTTCACCCTATTCGCACGGGAGACGTTATTTTAAAGCACATTTTCGAGCACCTGTTATTTCCAAAACATGATACAAGAGTCCATGACAGGCAGAGAGTCTACAACACCACACAATTCAAGGGTCTTAAGATCACTAATTCACTCAATCAACCAACACAATATGAAGAAGAAATGAGACTTCTTAAATGCATCAACATCCTCCATAGTGCTACACTACCTCCCTAGGTTGCAAATCACTACAGAGACTGTCAATTCAAAGCATACTGAGCAGGCAATTGCAAGGAACACGTACTTGGAGCCCTAAAATTTAAAAATTTGGACAGTGGACTAGGCTCCAAGCACACAAACAGATCTAATGCAGTCAAAAGATAAACATCCCCCCGACACTTAAGATCGACATTGCCCTCAATGGAGAAGAGGGAAGGAAAGGGGAACGATGTTACCGGTATGCACGGACTGCAGGAGACGGGAAATGGACCAGTCGGGAACACATCACAGCTAAAGGGAAACAGAAGAGCTCAAACACAATATGTTAGGTCCAATGTCAGCCCAATAAGACATCATCCAAAACAAAGGAAATAAACCAAAACCAAACCAAATCGCAATCCGACTCGAAACAAAACAAATAAATGAAAACCATGACGGGGTTGCCTCCCCACAAGCGCTTCTTTACCGTCTTTTAGCTGGACGCCCATGATGGATACTCAGCGGGGTGCAGGAACAGGTACCTCCAAGAGCGGATCCACATCGCTCTTGAGATACAGCTTCAGGTGGTGACCGTGCACCCGACGGTTGCAACCACCAGCAGAGGTCAGCTCGACCTGGCCATCCGGCAGGATACAAGCGAGTGAGTACTCGGATGGCCAGGGTGGTCGTGGTGCAGGGGGTGGAACCAGCTCGTAGTGGTCTCCACCCTTCTTCCGTGCAGGCCTAGGCACCTGCTGCTTCGGCCGCCACTCCTCC